TGAGGAGCTGGACTGGGAAGGCGGCTCCTCTTCAACGTGGCTATTGGGAGGAAGCTCTTTGTGACGGGTTTCTCCCTCCTGGTTCTGGGAGGGAGCTAAGTTCTGATCTTCAGGGACATTTGCATGAATCTGCATTCCAGAGAGATGATCCGTGATCTTGCCATCTGCCTGCAGTTTCGCCAAGCGTCTTGGGGAGGGAACTAGGTGTGCTGGTACCCCAGAGGGTGTCTTCTTGCTAGTGGAAATGCCTGCTTTAATATAGAAAGATGTTAGCTGAAAGTATCTCAACAGGCACAGCCATGTAACTTTAGAAATTAAATGGGTCTTTCCCTTTGATGTGCAGAAGGCCTTGAATAGAATAAAACGGCACAGGTGAAGAATATAATCATGCTTTCTCCTTGGGGATACGGAAGGCCTAGAATGCTCTTATTTAGTGGAACTTTGAAAAAATTTAGGCAACTGAAAATACAAGCTTTAATGAATAAACAGAGACAGAATCAGAATTTATGTCTAGGCTTGTGAGTGGTAAGAGGAATTTCAAAGTGATTGAGATTTTAAAGGTTCACCACTTTAGGGATCAAGGCTGCTTTTGAGGGAAGAGAAGGGCATCTGAGCCAGATGCAGACCCACTCGTTTCCTTGTCTATCGCAAGCCCCTTAAGACTGAGGAGTCCAGTCGGGTTACTAGTACCTCAGCTGGCACTCATAAGTAAGTGATGAAAGAGAAAATTAAATGTAATGGACTCATAAGGCACTATGGTTCAGAGAAGCCGCTCCTGAGGATCCGCCGTGTGGGCTGCTGTTCTGTCTCTACCCATCCCAAGGGCTACCCTTTCCCTCCAAGTCTGTCCTTTCAGAAATGGCAATGTTGATGCTGCCGGTGGGAGTTGCTTCCATTAATCACCATGAGAGTGAGTTCTCAGAGTGACTCTTGTGTCACAGACACAACCACCCCCAGCAGACACTTGTTTAGGAGAGAAGCTCTGTGATGCTCTGATGGCCCAAGTGTCATCGTAAGCCAGTCCAAAGGGCATAGCTCTGCACTGCTAGAGGTCGGAGTGGCACACCTGCCTGGAACAGGCTTGAAGAAACTGTTCTTAGCTCATTTGGGATAAGACCTGATACTCGGAGAGAGCAAACCATCCCCCACAAAGCAGGATGAGCTTGGACTACTCCAGGTTCGCACTAATCCACCTATTCTGGGTGCATACCTGGTACATCAACCAGAAAAGGGTGGGAACAAGGACAAGCTCGCCCTTGACAGGGTTTCTGAGAGGGTATCCTATTCATTCTTACCTCCCTAGTTTACAAGAGTTATGAATGAGAAACTGATTTAGTCAAGAAATAAGGTCATGAAAAAAATATAAGAACAATGTAGACTGGAGAAAGTTATTAATGGATACAGAAGTTTCTGTTTGGGGTGATGAAAAATTCTGTAAATAGGTAGCGGTGATGGTTATACCACATTGTGAATGTAATTAGTGCGGTTAAATTGTACACTTAAATTGGTTAAAATGGCAAGTTGTATTTTTAACACAATAAGAAATGATAGAATAATATAAAAACAGTGAAACCCAAAACTGAAGATTGCTTTACCTGTAGGCTCTCCTGGTTTCCTATAATCAGACTTACAAGGATTTTTTTTTTAACAAGTCACACAATTTGGCAAATAATACCATGACCTTTATTAGTGATAAAGGTACCACTGTGGATTGGCAAATTGCTCAGTTTCCCCATTTGATGCATCACCATCTTCTATCATTAGTCAGAATTTTGAATACTGATTTGCAAATAACTGTACCATCTTTATAGCAAGGAACATGTGGAGGGGGCAGTCTGGTCTGGGGGAGTAGAGGTGGTTTGGGGGCACACACCCTTGACCCAAGGGAAGCCTGGTGCTGAGCTCCTCCACTTGATTGGAGACCTTAGCAAGGAGCACTGCAAAGAAAGCACTCCACATACACTCTCCCTATACACACAATAGATCTGCACTGGACCCATTACATGCCCCCACAGAGAGGTGGGATAAGGGGAACCAGACCTCTGCCAGCTTGCCCAGCTGTCCAACTCCATGCCCCTCCTTCCCACTGACAACTCCTCCCTAGCTGGAGGCACTTAATGTAGTCTGCAACACACACACATACACAGGCATAAATGCAGCACAGCGCCACCTGCTGGAAAATTCAAAGATAAGCAACTTAGTTGTAGTTAATCTAGATTAAAAAAAAAAAAGCTAAAGTAGCAAAACGGGCAGAAAGAAGAAAGTAACACCTGGCATCTTGAGAGTGCAAGGACAGAACAACTCTCTAGAACCAAACTCAAAGGTATGGAAGATTATATCTCCCTACCAAATTGAGAATTCAAAATAGCGATTGTGGAAAACTCAGAAAAGCAATTTAAGTAGTTCAAGAATAAAATTAACCAGCAGAAGGTCAAAATTGAAGCCTCAATAAATGAAATCATGAGGGCTATAAAAAAATTTAATGACCTAAAAGAAAACATGAACAGCCCCATCAAGAGTAAGGAAATTGAAACAGTAAGCAAAACCCTCCCAAAAAAGAAAGTCCCAGGGCCAGACGGCTTCACTTGTGAATTCTATCAAAATTTCAAAGAAAGAGTAATACCTATAACTTCTCAAATGTTTCCCAAAACTTGAAAAGGAAGGAAAGTTTCCAAACAATTTTCATGAAGGAATGAAACATCATTCTCATTCCAAAACCAACAAGGATATAACCAAAAAAAAAACAAAACCAGACTAGTGTCTGATGAACTTACATGCAAAAATCCTCAACAAAATACTAGTAAACGGCTTCTACAATATGATGAGGTAGGAGCCATTCCACAGAAAAGGGATAGTCAACTGCAAGCCAATTAATGTGACCTAGTCACGTGAAGAAAAGACAAAAACCATGTTTATTTCAATAGATGCAACAAAAGCATTGACGAGACTCAACATCCATTTGTGATAAAAACCCTCAACAAAGTGTGTAGAGGGAACATAACTCAATATAATGAGAAACCCACAGCTGACATCATAGCTAACGGTAAAAATCTACAAGAACCCTTCCCAGATGGCGACTTTCAGAGGCGTCCTCTGTGCTAACAACTGCTTTCCTCAGTGATTCAGAACCAGGCAGGCTCAGGGCACTGACTTGTGTTTACCCAAACCCACAGGGGCTGATTTAAAAGCCAGAACACCAATTTATTAATTTACAATGGGAGATGGCCTGGTTCAGGGAGCGGGGCAGGGTGTTCTAACGTAGGAGGCAGCCCCCACAGGGACAAGTCTGCCTCGGGGACCAAATTAAAGATCAGAAGGTTGCTGGGTGAGCAAAGATGTCAGATTTCCTCAAGAGAAACTTCCACGGAGCTACAGAAGCCTCATTAAAGACGTGGCACAGCTCCACCATCACAGCTTTCTAAAGAACCGAGCCTCGTGTGGAGATTCTGAGCTGCTGGATAAACACGCCGCATGGTCCTAGCTTAACGGCCCCAGCCCCCTAGTGGGCTGAGCACAGGCCTCCACTAAGGCTGTTTTCAACAGGGCACACGTTCCTCAGGCTGGGCCCCTGTGTCCTGTGGGACATCCAGAGAACAGAGAAGGAAAACCTCGGTCATTATCTGTTGGTTGTTACCAGTTTCACCCTGACCTGGGGAACATGTGTCAAATGCAAAACAGCACAGTGAGTTTGCACTCCGGCCAAACCATGCCCTGGCCCGCCCCAGCCTGGCCAGGATGCAGACAGGCAAGCACAACTCTCTGTGGCTCAAGAGTCACAAGAGCGGAAGCACAGGCATAAACAAAGCTGCAGAACCCGTGATGCACAACTGAAGAGGTGGGAGCTGACACCTCCAAGCCTCAGTTCTGTGAACCAACATGGCCTCCATGGCAAGGGCCGCAGCTTAACATTTAACAATAGGCGACATGTGTATGAGGTTTACTCCATCGGGCGCCCTCTTTTTAAATTATGGTGGTAAAATACACATGTATAATTTCCTGGCTTCACCATTTTCTCATGTATAGCTCAGTGGCATCAAGTTCATTCACATTGTTGTGCAACCATCACCACTACCCAACTCCAGAAACCGAACCTCTGTCCCCTCAAACACTATTCCCTATTTTCCCCTCTGCCTCCAGCCCCCACTATCCTACCTTTTGTCTCAGTTTAATGACTCTAGACACCTTCCATGATGGAATCATATAGTACTTACGGTTTTGTGACTGTCTTAATTTGCTGAGCATAATGTCCTCAAGGCTTACCATTGTTGTAGACTCAGAATTTTTCTTTAAGGCTTAGTATTTCATTTTGTCTATACAGCACATTTTGTCTGTTTTTCTGTTGGTGGACACTTGGGTTGCTTCCACCTTTTGGCTCTCTTGAGTTATGCTGCTATAAATCTGGGTGTGCAAAAGCCTGTTGAAGTCCCTGTTTGCAGTTCATTTGGGTGGACACCCAGAAGTGAGGCTGCTGGGTCACATATAGTAATTCTATCCTTGACACCTGAGCAGCCTGCCCGAGGGAGCAGCAGGACCAGGACCAGGCTCATGCCCTCTGAGTGGAGCTCCTCTACTGTACTGTGTGGTACAGCATTTTGAGGTCTGGGGCAATGCAAAGAAAAGGGGACAGGAGTGTCTTGGACAGAAGCAACACTAAATACAGACCTACTGGGCAGAATACTACTTTGAATCTGTAAGGGAGCCAGGCTTCTGGAAGTCTGACTTCTGAACCACGGGGCTGACCCTTCCTACCGTGAACTCCAAGGCACCGCTCAGCATGTCCCCAAGGGGCATGAGTTCTGGTCACCGAGAAAAGCAGAGGGACAGGTCTAGAAGACTGACTTGGACAGCTCATTTGTGGGGACCATGCCCCAGAGGAAGTGTAGGGACTCCAGGGCTAGAAGCAGATTCTACCCTGTTGAGGAGTATCCACCCAAATAACTTGCAGATTAGCTTTCCATTCCATAGGGGAAAATTGTGGCACAAAAGGAATAAGAAAGTACCTGTAGTGGGAGCCAATGTGTTGGCTGTTTCCTCAGACAACCCCAGGTATTCTCTCACGAGCTGACTCAGATGTTGGTAGGCGACATCCAGGTCATCTGCAGCAAATGCAAGAGTATGCCTTAAGGCAGCAGAATCATACCAGAACGGTCCATGTGTGACTGCTGGTGGGATGGTTTTGGCTACATTTAATTTTATGAATGGGAGGTGGGGTGCAGAACCCAAGAATGTGATATGACTCCTGTGATTATGTGATGTTATAAGGCAAAGGGGTTTTTCCAGATGTAATTAAGGTTGCTTGTCAGCTCGAGTTTGGGCTGATCAGAAGGGAGGTTCTCCAGGGGAGTCAACTTTCATCACACAGAGCCCCACAAAAGGAGAATCCTCTGGTAGTGGAAGAAGAAGGCAGAGACTTGAAGCTCAAGGAGGATTTGATGTGTGGGTATTGACTCAAAAGCGAAGAAGCTGCATGGGTAGACCTAGGCGCAGCCTGAGGGAATTGAGGGCAATGCAGCCTCAGGACGTCAGTCGTACAATCATAAGAAACTGCACTCTGCCAGCAGGAAGCAAGTGTGCACCAGGGAGTGGATTTTCTCCCCAGTGGCCTTACATTTCAAAAATGAAATTCGAAGTCACTGACCTGCATTGATTACTGCATCAAAAAAGCCTGGGAATGTCTGATTAATTTTGATATATAGGTCCACTCTGGAGACAGCAAATTCGATCTCTACACGACTGAATAATCCTTTTCTCCGCAAGTATCCCTCATATTTTTTCTTATTCATGGGTACCACCATGATATACCGAGGCTCAAAGTAGGAGTATTTCAAACTTCTTACACCCTATGCATTTAAAGAAAAGATAATAAATCAGAAATAGATAAAAGAAATTCAGAAATCATCCCAGAGACATCTGACAATGTAGGTATATTGGGTTGCAGAGGTTTTTTATCTGTATAATTAGCTATTTTCCTATAAAAATCTCAAAGTTGGATTATTTCTCTCTGTTCATTAAATATTAAATTGTCAGTGGAACAATTCATTCTACCTGGTTCTCCTCTAGCTCACCATGCTAATGAATATGCTAAAAAAGAAAATTGCTAGCTACAGATAGGTACATTTCACAGTGGCATTGCACCTTTGTTACTGGAAAGTAATTGCAGTTCTACATTTCAAAAGGTAACCAAGCAGCACCAGAGACAGGCCTTACCAGACAGAAGAGGCTCCTCCTCAGTGCCCTCTCATCGAGACCTGGCTCGCTTCTACTCGGTCTCACAGCCTCTTCCCAGAGCAGGGGAGTGGCCAGTTCACCTTCCCCTGGAGCTCACAGCATGAAGCAGTGACAGGCAGGGGTGCACAGAGCTGCAGAGCTGGGTGGTGACTGCGGCTTTGGAGACCACTCCATGCAAACCCTACAGGTTCCCTCAGTACTGGTTCCCTCATCCGGGAAACACAAGGGTTGTGCTAAGTGGACTCTGAAGACCCTCCCGCCTCTACCCTGTTCTCAGTAGTTTAACTCAGTGTTCAAAAAGTTTAAAAACTTCGGGGGAAGAAAAACATACTCTTTTCAAACAGTTTCTGGGAGAATGACTGACAAGAGCAGTTGGGGAAAATGCCCACGCCGAGGACAATGCAGGAGAGAAGGCCCGGGTTCCACACGCAACCTCCTGGAAACGAGGACAAGGAAAGCAGCCCAGCAGAGGCCAGCTTTAGCCCCGAGGGGCAGGGAGAGGCAGCTCGGGCTCCTGTGCTCTGTCCAGCTGCAGGCGCCTGACTCTGCCTTGTCCAAGGAAGGCATTTTGGCAGATAATCAAAACAAAACGCCTTGTTAGTATAGAAAAAAAGAAACCTTCTTAAAGGTGCAGTAAATTGCAGAAAGATGAAAATTGTAGAATTTTGAAGGGAAGAAACATGGACGAAACATCACAGGTGTCCATGAACTAGCAACGCCGCTGCCAATCCAAGGCATCAAAAAGGAATCGCAGCCTCCTCCCTGCACCGTCACTGAGTAACATTTCTAAGATTTGGAGTCCATAGTAAAGGAGCCGCCTGAGCTTTGTCCTTTAGGTTTGGGCTAATGGAATCATTTCTATTTTAACTTTTCTGATGATGACAGTGTTAATGAAAACTTTAATTTCTAAATGTGTCTTTTGCCATCTCCCAGAAGATGACTTGAAAAAAATGAACTGTCTAAAGATTGCAAATATTTCATAAAGCTATCTATTTTTGAAACAAATGAATGAGCTAGTCATGCCGTTACCCTCTGTCTTCATTTTGGAGAAGAGTCTATTAGAGAAGATCCCAGGGGAAAGACAGGATGTTGAGACAGAGAGAGAAGTCCCCTGAAATCTACGAGTCTAAATGGCTAAAAAGTGTAAGGAATGCTGCCCAGGGAGCCGGCGGAGTCAAGTGACAGCACAGTCTGCGGAGAGGGACGAACAAGGTCAACTGCAGGGAGCTGTGTGGAGAGCCCCACCCCGTCAGCAGCAAGCTTTATCTGTTAGCACTTTATATAAATGGAGACCATGGACTGTAACAAAAGGGATAGTGCAGGGAGGGAGTGGTGAGGACGTAAATCCTGAGTGGCAGTTTTACTCGAAGGATATGTGTGCTTTCTTGTACTCTAATTCCTGTCATTCAGGTCTTCATGAGTCCTGCTTCCCACATTCCAATGATGCACTTGAACCTCACGGTACATGGCGTTCCTCCTGTACCCAGCGACGTGCTGCCTGCACACTATAGTCCCCTCCCTCACCCCAATACACACACACACTTAAAACTGGTTGACTGAGTGAAAAGCACGTACCTCTATTTCCATATGGATACAGCTCGCCAGCCCATCTCTTGCAATACCTTCTACCGTGTCTCTATTGAGTCCGTAATTGTGGTTGCCATAATTAAATGTGAGGATGAATTTCCCCTGAAATCAAAGAATTACAAAGTGTCCTAGAACAGCTGCCATCATGGAATTTAATGTAAAATTGTTGTCTGCCTTACATTATAGGATTGCATAAAGCCCAAATACTAGCAATTAGATGAGGGTGACAATAGGTTTACGAAACTTAGTATCACATTGTGCTACAGAAATATATTCAGCATCCCAGGCTGACCCCCCCCCCAGTTTTTTTTTGGGGGGGAGGAAACTGCTGAAGGCACTGAAGCTTGTGATAGAACAGATCGCTTTGCGTGCTACTCTCTGCCAAAACAGCACCATAAACCTTCATTACTGAGCGAGAGAGAGAGCCAGGCTAATAATTTGCCCTTTGCCTCAACCATTTCTGTTATGCCAACATGCCAGATAGCCCAGAAAAAGCTTCCATTCTCAAAAGTCTTGCCTTTCTAGATAAGCCTGAAGGCCATGAATTATAGGGATATTCTAAAACCTTTGCATCCTGAGATAAGCTATGACAAAACGGATGCCTCCTCTTCTTCCTTATAAACAGAGCTCATTACTGAAATGTCCTCAGATGTTATTCAACAGAATTGTGCATGCCCTAGCGTCACCTGAAGTCTAAACACTGCCTTCTCTCCATATTCTGGAAGTCTAGGTCTTCCGAAAGCTGCGCTCCCTTGCAAGAAATGAAAGTAAAAGCATCACTCTCAAAATAGTGACTTTTTCCTCAACACCATTATATTTATGAAACCACCAGGTCTAGTCTAAACTGGGAGGCCAATGACAATAGAAAAGACAGAAGGAAAATGTAGATGACCTTGAGAACGGACTCCCTATTCATGGGACTTTGAAATGAACCTTGGAAGTGTAACCCTCTGAGGCCCCATGAATCGCATCAAGAGGTAGCAGCATTACTAAGAGCAGTAGTGGGGAGGAGTCTTTTATGTCCCCCGTGCCACTGTCCCCCAGATGTGCTGACATCTGTGTGGATGGGGGATGGGTTATCTGTCAGGGGTGGTACTAGAAGACCAAGAGACATAGGGTGACTTTTGTGGAGTGGTGGGTAGATTCTGGGGAACGTGTCTGCTGTGGATGTTAAGAAAAATCCCCTCACCCCATAATTCAACTCATTTGCTATGACTCAGCCTGTCTTCCAAGTCAACCACTCTTCAGATATATGCTGTGGATCTGTTTACCTCTGTGCATAAGGGCCTTCTCTGTGCACCCCAAAAATATTAGCCAGAAGGACAGAGAGCTGGGAGAATCTAGCCCCGTACCATATAAAAAATCCTGTTAAATGTTTTTTTAAGAATTGAGATGAAGTGCTTCCCTAACTTTCATTTCTTCCTCTCTACCAATTTCTTAAATAGGAATAATCCCATGCCAGAAACTTTCAGGTCGGTGATCTTGTCAACACAAGAGAGAGTTTTCTACAGGAGACTGTGTATACACCCTACGAAAAGGCTTGCATGTCTGTGGGCATGTGGGGAAGATTTGTGCTGAGCTGAGCCTGAAGGCCATGAATTAGAGGGCGATCCTAAAACCTAGGCTACTGGTAGGTTTCAGGATAATAAAACTAAACCTGGAGGAGGGGAAAGTGTGTGGGTGTCCTGGTCAGAGTGGGTCGGTGTAGCTGTGCACAGCAGGTGTGTGTGGGGGGCAGGCCAGGGTTCTCTGTCAGTGAGAGGGGGCAGGCCCTCTGGGTGGCTGTGACTGGTGAAGCTGACGATGTGTCACGAGGTGTCATCTGTCTGTCTCTCTCATGAAACAGCCTCAAGCTCATTTCAAGGGAAAGAAGGCAGAGGCAAAATTCCGGTGCAGGAAATGACATTATATTGAAATCATCTGTGTTAGCAGAAGGGGTAAAAACGAGGACTTCTCCAACACACGTGGGTTCCCGCAGAGCAAGGAAGAGTTTCAGACTAAATATACGATGGAGTGCAGTGATTTCCGAGATTAGGCGTTGAACCAGACAGGAGAAGGTATGGCGCGCTGGGAGCATATGCGCTGAACCAAGCAAAAGAAGTGCCTCAGCCTCTAACGAGAGAAATTAATGTTAGTTTGCGGACGAGTTATCTTTCAACTCAAAGAGTCCTAAGAGAATGCTTCTTGCTAATCTCAAGATGACCCCTCAAATCTCTATTCAGATAGAGGTTAGAAATAGAAGGTCCAGGATAGTCTTGGCACATGAACTGAACTACTAAAATAAAGCCCGAGGAGAGAAGGTTGTCAAGTGGTTCCAAGGTTCTTCTGACAAGGCCAGAGGGAAAACAGCCCAGGGATTCTAGAACTTTCTCACTACGGTTTTTCTGTGAACGCAAAGTGCTATTCAGAATTAGACTGAAAATACCACAGAGCAGGTACCTCCATGGTTCACAGCACGGGTATTGGGCTCTACGCCAGTCTGCTATTTGAGGGTGGGGTAGAGAAAGGAGGGGGGCGGGAGAAAGGGCTAGAGGGGAGAGGAGCTTTACCTATCAGAACATCCCTGGTTGGAGGGATGATCTTTTAAAAGCAGAAACACAGGCTGCTCATTAATGTGGCCCCAGAAAAAAAGACACTGGGGTGTAGTGTAGGTTTTGTTTGGTAGTAGAAGGGACGAGGATATAAACAAAAATAAGGCCAATGGTGAAAAGATCTACAAAAGGCCTACTGGCTCACAGGCGGTGAGGAAGATAGGAGGTGTTCTTTCAGGAGAGCTAACCTGGCACTGGAGAAGTGCTGACAGTAGACTAAATGCACGGGGGGAGGGGAGCATTCCTGCTGTGGGTGAAGCTCCAGAAAGAACAAATACATTTTAAGAAAATGAACTCAGAGGTAAGAGTGCTATGAATTAACCCCAAACAGTAGATTTATCAGTGTTTCAGGAACAAAAAAATCACATTGAACTAGACTGTTCGGAGCGCCTACAAAACAGACTAATAAGGGTAATGACCGTCCCCTATTAAAGAGCCAAACCTCAAAGCAACTAGGAATTTTCTCCCAAATAACAAACAGCTAGGTAGGAGTTCCATCTGCATTAAAATGCCCAGCCCCACAGACCATGGGCTTCTCAAACAGGGGTGGAAGGTCAAGGCTGTACTTGTAACTAGGATAAGCTAATGGGATGCACACAGCACAAGGAAATGGTGTTTAGGGTCACAGCAACTAGGAAGCACCAGAGACAGCAAACAGGAGTGGGGCCTGGCTAGGACACCCCAACCTGGGATTGTGCAGTCCCAGCTCCTTCAGCATCAAATCATAACAGCAGCACCCGACAAACACCGGTCACAGGAACTTCTCATGATGTTTGCACCCCTATTTTCTTAAGCCATCTACTTACTGTTTTATTGGAAATTGTGCAATATTTTCGCCAAGATCCTAAAATAAAGCCATATTTGAAAGATGCAGTTTAGTGGTTTAAGAAAATCCATCTCCAATAAGAACACATCTCTCCTAACATAAAATTTAATTGCTCTGTTTCTTAATACCCTTTCCTACTCTCGCCACCAGAGAACATGTATTTCTTGTACGACAGGAGTGAAGGAGCATCTTCTTACCATGTTTAGCATTTCATCAAAAACTTCTTGAGAGATAAAATGATAATCGACGCGATCCCCTTCTCCAAAGTAAGGCGGTCTTGTGGTGTGACAGGCCCTGGGAACATACAACAGGTAAGCTCACCTCTGTGTTAAGATGGAATCCAACACAACAGGTTCAGTGGAAAGCGCACTGGGAAGGACTGAGCTGAGCCAAGAATCATAAATCACAAGTAGTACATAATTGTGGGGTGGGAAAAGCACTACTGTTTTGAAGGACTAGACTATTCAGTTCTATGCTCTGGGGATTATACAAACGTTGGCTTGTTGACACCAAGTTTTTACTCATTGCAACTTACCGGCTTTTGTGCTGCTACATGACACCACATGATAATACAGTAGGAAGTGTGGCCTATTTATTACTCCTATTTCCCACATTTTTTGCCTTCTGGGAAGGCAAATTGATTTTTAGATTATCCTATGGCTTTTAAGATGGGGGATGAGCACAGGGAAATGCTTGACAGGTTACTTTATTCCTAACTTAAGAAGCTTTGGGTAGGTGTTACTGTTTTTATTTTACAGATGATGAAGCTAAGGCACAACAATTAAGCAACGCCAGGATGATTCCAAAGTCGATTCTTTTTCATATCACACTAAGAGCGTAACATCGCAACCTTGAAAGTCTCCCCACTACAAAGTCAAAGAAATGTTTATAATTCATACCACTGCCCTTCTTCCATTATAAACAAGGAGCAACTGTACAGGTAAATTTTGAAGTCTTAACATTACATCCGAATTGCATACTTAGGAAAGAGAATGAGTTCTTAAGAGGAAGCTGTCAAAACACCGTGACATTTGTTTAGTTGTTGAACACACTGGCATATCTTCACACACCTTGGCAGAGACCTGAGACCCTCTGTTTACTGGAGCCCCTGACAGTCAGGAAAGATTAAGCCATGACTTGGCATCCCCTTAGCTAAGCCTGTACACAGTGCAATGAATTTGCATTTCTCAACAAAAGAAATGTGCGATAGGGCTTTGCCCCCAACCCCCCCCCCCCCCCAGAATTTCCCAAAAAGACAAAGCAAAGAAGCACTTCAAAGCTTCTAGGGGGATAAAGAGATGGCTTCACTGACGTGGAGACTGCTGATGACAGACCCTGCAGAACCTTCTAGCAAGAAAGACCTAAGACAACCTGCAGTGTTTTGAATCTGTCATCCAACTTTCACATACGGAAACATTCGCTGTGTAGTGTGCCACCCAAATACGAACATTTTTAAAAGGAAATACTTCAGATCCAAAGCAACGTTTCACTAAATTTACTTAGGGGAAAAAAAAGATGCCAGATTTCAGACAAGGACATTTTCTTGGGCCATCACTTTCAATATCCTTCTTCTCCCCTGTCTAAATATAAAATTCAATGATAATTTACATTTCTGTGGGTTTATTATTTACCAATTAATTCACTAGTTAAAACATGGCAAATTAGTTAAATTATGGCTTGTAATGGGAGCCATATGCTGTCAGTTTCATGAAAGAGCCAGAATTGAGTTAGAGGTTAACTCTAGACTACAGTATGGGTCTTAAAAGTCGAAGGGTGAGATTGGACAGTCCAAGGGCCAACTCATGGGCCAGCTGACATCTTGACACACCAAGTGCATGAAAAGGAGGAGATGATTGGGAGGGAAAGGAATCTGGAAGACCAGGCCTAAGAAGGTAATGGTAAATTACCCAGGGAAGCATAATAGAAACAAAAGATATCTAAGAAGTTAGCAGGTGAATGAAGAATTTTCTTCAATGTGATTCAAAAGCATCTCAATTCTGGACCAGACTGCCTCAGGAAGTAATGAACTTCTTGTAACTGCAAATATTTAGGTAGAGGCTCGGCTGTGAACACATCAAATATAGCACGTCATATTGTAGGTAAGTGAACTCTTTTCATGGGTATCCACAAAAGCCCAGGTTTTCCTAGGACGTTCGGTAGGCAAATTAAATTGGCTCTAATGCTCAACGCAAATATGTTTCAAATCAGTGGCTGTCAATTTAAGAGATCACGAACACAGAAGGTTCCCATAACACTGTGTCTGAGTATCTAATTCCAGGAAACCACTATTCTGTCCACCTTCCATTAAGTACATACTACTTTCCAACTCATACCATCTCTGCTGTAATTATATCCTAGCCGGTCTCTTTATCTCAAGCCTTTCCCCCCCATGTCCCCCCCAAGCCCTCTCTTAAACTGCTGACAGATTTTGCATCTAAAATGCAGCAATAATCATGATGCTCCCCCCCCCACCCCTGCTTAGCCCCCTTATGCATTTATCTTTCTGGCCTTATCTTCTGCCACCTCCATCTATACTTCATGCTTAGTCACAGTACATGTTCAGTCAATCAAATGAACTTGTTCCTTCTGGAATGCACACCTCCGTAAGTCCCACATACCACCTGTCTTTTGCTTCTGTCACAGAGGTTCTTCCTTCCTGTCATCATAGCACCCACTAAACTATCCTGTTAGAGACCACTTACTATCTGATTTTTCATACTGGGATGCTGTAAGCTTCCAGAAGGGAAGGCCCATGTCTATTTGTTTTATGGTTTTATCACAGACTCATGACACACAGATACTCAATAAGCATTGACTGAGGGCCTAAAGAATAATTCCAGTTTGTCACATCTCTATAAACAAACAGATTAGGCTGCACTTAAGTAGCTGGAGCTCATACCATCTCATTTAGCTAAACAGTGATGGTCTTTTACTTTATTGTACTATAGTACTGAAAGTAAAATAGATCTAGTAGTCAGTGTCATAGAACAGATTCTGAAAATAGAGATGGCTCTAAAAGAGCCACCTAAGGAAGAAGTAAGTTCTTTTGTGACTATTCTGACCGCACTCATGGCCTCGGCTCTTGAGGATGAACAGGCTCTGTGGCAGTGTGTCCTGCTTCCCTCATTATCCAGCACTCTTCAGGAAGCTACTATTGATGTTGCAACACTAAGTCTGGAAATTAATCGGACATGAAGACAAGACATGCATATCACCAGGTCACTAATAATTAATACAGGTGAAAAAAGAACAATGAACCTACCTCTGAAACCAAGTAGAAACCTAAAACAAGAGCAAAATTTCCGTTATACCAGTATATGTTCTACCACTAAGTTGGGCTTTTGATATTTACTTATCTGGATCTGCAACTTAGCATGAGAAAATTTTGCCGAATATCTTAGTTTTGGGTCAGTGCAATCTGAAAAGGCAGGCAAAATGCCAGGAGAAAATGAAATAAACAGGAGAGAAAGAAAAGATTCAAGTGAATGGCAGACTAAGAACCTTTATAAATGCTTATCTGTCTCACCATGAGACGGTATGCATGCTTCTTGTTTAATTAAAAAAATCAATAATGTTTATGTTAGATAAAGAATAAAAGCTAAGCAAGAACAGTGACTTGCCCCTGAGGATGTGCTTTGGTTTTATCATTTGTTTGAGCTAGAAAATTGTGGCATAGCTGGACTATGGTGGTGGACCGTGCATGTTTTGGTGATGGGAGTGCTATGGTAACATCTCAGGAAGGGGGCAATCCTAGACTTCCAAAATACAAACAACAATGTAAACCAATGTTTCCCAATAAATTATTTTTTTTAAAAATTGCTGCATAGAGTAGTAACAGTACTACCTTACTTTCTCAATGGATGAAATTATTATCTAATATTCATGCCTCTATGGGATTCTTAGGGTAATATGCTATTGAACATCTCTGATTTCTGCCCCCAAGAAGATGTCCATTTGTGGGCCTATAATGGAAGGAGGTGAGTGGGGCAATTAGGAACATCCTTCCAATCACCATACCAATAAATAGCAGTAACAGTAGTAACAACACAGAAGCATGTTAGGATTTTGTTTGACCATCTTGTGCTTCCACACAAATGGTGAACAACTCTACTTAAGGTCTGAGTTACCCCGTTAGATTACAAATTTCATCAACGCAGGACCTCACCAACCTTGTTCCCACTTCATATTCAGAGCCTAGCACGTGGGGAGGACTCAATGAATATTTACTGGACTAATGAATGAATACAGGATGAATTTATCCTTTCAACTCTCCATAAACCCATCATTGGAGGCTGGGGAAAATCACCAATGTTATAAAAATTTCTCACTACATGTAGCATAGGACACCATTAATTCATTCATCTGTTCACTCACTTGACCAGTTAATTTTCCATTTAATATTTATCAGATGCATATTAAGCCCTTGGCCATGTACTAAGCACTGAGAACTTAATGGCGAGCCAAGTTGACATTGCTCCCTACCCTCATTGATGAGCAGAGAATACAAACAATGTGAAAAATCACAAGCTTGGTGGATAAGCATTCTAATAGGGAAAAATGCAGGGTTTATTGAAAATGAATAATCGAGCCTATCCAGCTAAGAATGTCAAGGCCGACTGGATCAGAGTCTTGATACTGGGTGAATCAACCCCTCAAGCGAACACATCCACCCCTGCCCACACACAGTATCAGTCCAGTGTCCCCGTCACAAATAGAAAGCACCAGACTACCAACCTTTTGCAACAAAATTGGTATCCCAGACATGAGAGGAATTCTAATCAGAAAGAGCCTCGGTCCACCTCATTTTGGTTTGTTAAAGGGTTCAAGTTTACGTGTCAGCACAATAGTGAGGTTGCACACTCTGGATGGCCTTTGCCCGGCCACTTACATTATTCCATTGATCTTTTAGAAAAGGCTGGGTACCCCTATATGAGCATAATGGCACTCTATACTTATTGTAAGATTGAGTTTTAATTTATTTTTGTAGCTTCAGGGTTTAAACTATATTAATGAATAAATTACTCTCTAGTATATATGTCCTGGGGTTGTTCAAATGAGGGGTGTAAATTCAGATATCTAAACAAATGGGCCTGTTAAAAATAGTACTTACATTGTTTTGAACACGTGTAGGCTGGGGAAGGACTTTTCTATTTCACAGCTTTAGAAAACTTTTTGCATTTATTGTTCTTACTGTTCTTAGCTCGCTAAGGAACACTAATCTGAAAATAATCTCGTTGCTATATGTGAAAAAATAAAAGTGGAGGCCAGTTGGAAAGGCTGTGGTGATCATGCTCACCCAGATCTCACAGGCCTGTAACTCTCTGGAGACTGGGTTTTGGGCTGGTTTTAGCGTTTTGGCTATTTTGCTCTATTTTAACTGGAATCCCATGGTTACATGTTCCTGAGAACTGTGAGGTGTAACGAATGCTAACCTCAGGGAAAGGAAAGGAAAAACTCGGCTTCTGTTTCTCTCTCCTGCCTCAGATAAAGCAGCTGGAGGGACTTTTGGGGAGAGGCCATGGCGGCCCCCCCAGACCACAGCAAACCCGCATGTCCCCACCATGCATGCGCGCACACCGGCCTGCCCGCTCTACCACGCATGTGCACAGGCCCATCCCTCTTTCACCACAGTATCGTAATTACGGGCACCATTGGATGCGGGAGGAGCCCCATCAAGCACCCCTGGGATTGCTGTAAAAGCACAAATACTTTCAAAACCTTGGACACATGAGTTAGCTTAAACATTTCGAGCACTACAGTTATAAAAAACTAATTTATTATGGGTTGAGATATAATATATAACGTATTATATCTCTATACTATATATTATAATCTATATATGTTATAATCAATGTAACGTGTATTATATCTCAACCGATAATAAATGACCGCAAAGATGATAAGCCTTCCATGCACACCTTTGCATTTGTTTAAAATCATTAGTCAGATGGGAGAACATTTTTGCACCCAACACTAATGATAAAGGACTGATCACAAAAATCTACAAAGAGCTGATGAGACTCAACAAAAACAAAGAAAATAATCCAGTCAAAAAATGGGCAGAAGAGCTAAAAAGAAACTTCTCCAAAGAGGAAATACAAATGGCCACCAGGCTTATGAAAAAATGTTCAACATCACTTGCAATCAGGGAAATGCAGATCAAAACTACCATGAGATACCATCTGACACCAGTGAGAATGGCACATATAAAAAAAAAAACTAGCAACAACAAATGTTGGTGAGGTTGTGGAGAAAAAGGAACTCTCCTGTACTGTTGGTGGGAGTGCAAACTGGTCCAACCACTATGGAGAGCTGTGTGGAGATTTCTGGACCTACTAAACATAGAGCTTCCATAGGATCCAGCAATTCCACTCCTAGGTATTTACCAAAGGACACAGAAACATCAATTCCAAAGAACACCTGCACCCCTATGTTTATAGCAGCACTGTTTACAATAGCTAAGCTTTGGAAACAACCCAAATGCCCAAAAATAGATGACTGGATCAAGAAGATGTGGTACATATACACCATGGACTATTACTCAGCATTCAAAAAAGATAAACATATGCAATTTGCAGCAACATGGATGGCGCTGGAAGGGATCATGCTCAGCGAAATAAGCCAGAAAGAAAAAGAAAAATACCGGATGGTCTCACTCATAGCAGGAATCTAGAAAACCTAAATAAGGGACCAGGAAAATGAATAACTATAAGAAAGAAAATATCAAAATCAACAAACAACTATGAACCAGAGACACTCTATGGGGGTTGGGGGCGGGGAAAGGTGGGATTGGGGTCAAAATACGGGGGTTGTAATTGTATGGGGAATATAGAAAATAAAATTTAAATAAACTGTGAAAAAAAATAAAAAAAAATAAAATCATTAGTCAGAATGGGCAATAATGAGTTTTTCGCAGGTCTGCCAGACAAGACACAAACTTACCCATATCTGAAGTACGTGTTAAACTGTCTGCAGAGGCGGTGGGCGAGTTCTCGCTTCCCACAGGCTTGCGGCCCAGCTAGTATCAACATGGGGTACGGCGCGTCCAGACTGGGCAGGGTGCTGCGGGGGACACAGCGCAGTCAGCGACGGGCGGGGCCGGGTGTGGGCGGATCGGTGCCCTCACAGTCCAGGGGCCAGACACTAGCTCTGTGCAGACCCTGGCTAGAAGGACCGTCCTACTTTCCAGAAGCAAGATGATCATAGTATACCAACAACAATATTCGAAGCACAGACGACGGGGTAAAATCCAAATACATGTATAATTAGCAACAACACCTTAAAGGAAAAACATGGTTAGAGTATGCAAGATACTGGTTGATAAAGCTGCTTTCTGGAGCTAGAATCTGTGCAGGAGAAAGGAGGAAGAAGCAACTTCCAGGAGGTTATACAGTATATGATTCAGTTTATAGAACATTCTTGAAATGACATTATAGAGATGGGGAACAGATTGAAGGTTGTCGGGGATTAAGGAAGGTCAGAAGGAGGAAGAAAGCTACTCATCTACGATGGAAGCACGGGGGTCCTTGTGACAAAATCTTTCTGGATCTTGACTGTAGATGTTGGTGAGTGAACCTGCACCTGTGATCAATGTCAATTCCCTGATTGCCATATTCTACTATCTATTGATAGCTGTGGACATTAGGAAAAACTGGGTGAAAATTATATGGAATTTATATCATTCCTTACAAATGAATGTCCATCTAAAATTTATCTCAAAATATAATTTTTAAATGATTAAAGAGAAAAAAGATATGAAGGTAATTATTGGAGCTAGATAAAGGAGATCTTCCTTAAGAAGAAACCTCAAAACAAAGAAACAGAACAAATATTAAAGCCTGCAATTCAAGAAAACATTCTTTAAATAAGAAAATGAAACCACCCATTGAAACACAGTATACCTAAGAATATTAACCCAGAATAAGTAATACCAAGATCCAGTCTAGTAAAGTCATTGGCCTTCAAAGAAAAGGAAAAAAAAAATTCAGCTAGAAAAAGAGCACGTGATTTTTAAGGGAAAGAAAATTAAATTATCTCATTTTCTTTGACAGTAATGTTTTACACCAAAAGAAAGTAGTGTAGCATCTTTCATATATTAAATGGAAAAAGATGTGAGTCATAGATTTTATACTTAGTAAAAGTGACTTTCAACAAGAAAGGGCAGAGAATATCAACATGCAAGAAGATTCCATGGACACTGATCCCATTGCATTTGTAAAGGAAATTTCTAGAGAACACGCTTCATACAACCCAAATGATTGGAGAGACATCAACCTAAGGGCTGGAAGTGAGCAATAAACATGCCACTATCCATAGAACTAAGAGTAAAGGACAAAGGACAGTTTGTGATGGATATATGTTCTGACAATAAAAATACAGTACACTATCTTTACAACGGGTGATTGACACTTATATGAAATATGTACCACAGACAAATTCATAGAGACAGAAAATAGATTAGCAGTTACCGGGGACTGGGACTCGGAGGCACTGGGAAGTTATTGCTTAGTGGGACCAGAGTTTCTGTTTGGGGTGATGAAGTTTTGGATATAGATGGTAGTGATTATTGCACACAATCATGAATATAATTAATGCCACTGAACTGCATACTTGAAAGTGGTTAATACAGTAAATTTTATGTTAGATATATTTTGCCACCAAAAAAAAAATGGGGGTGGGGAATGGAGAGAGCATGGGGAACGTTGGCAGTAATCGTGCTGGCAGCAGAATTAGTACTGGTGTCCGGAGGCTGCCAGGGTGTAATATGGGATAAAAGAGTAATTAGGGGATATTCAAATCCCTGGAAACCTTGCTATGTGAGAAAAAGAGCTACTGAGGCAAAGACAGAAAGTTAAGGAAAAGTTCAATGAGGTCTTGAAAAAGAATTTTATCAATATGAACCCAGCACGTCTATCTACAGATAGAAACATTAGTCTATCTAGACTTGGATTAGATAGAAATAAACAGACTGAATAAATGTAGATGGAGAGAGGCGGGAATAAAGAAATATATCTTTAGCTCTGTCCACTAAAAGGCCTAGAAACAATGACCACCAGTATCACTGTCTCTAGCACTCATATGACTGGGGAATACCACTTCTCACCGACACAAATCAGGGCCTTTTGGAGAAATGACTAATTCAGACAGAACTTACAGAAGACAAACCTGGAGACCTTGTCAGACCAGAGAGTGAGTGAGGAAGCTACTGATGACCTCCGGGACAGAGTTCAGGTTCTGCTGTGTCATGTTAATACTCTGTCCTCACACCGATCATGCCAGGAGAGGGAACAGTGATATCTCAGTAATGCAGCGTAAAAGTCCCAAGGCCAGAAGTTGGTTCCGAGCCAGGAGCCTGACTTCAGGGGCCGCCAGAGCGCTGGGTACTGGCCAGGAGTAGCGAGGGCAATGCGGCCTGCTCCTGCCTCTGTGAGGTTTTCGTAATGAACTCCGCTCCAACCTGGAGCATCTGGGACTGCTTGGCCATTTGCTTCTGTCTGCCTGACAGCGAGAAATGCTCAAGAAATATGTGTTCACCAGATACTTCTGTAAATTTCTTTGATAAATATATTTATATCAATGCACCCTAAAGCAGGAAGCAACCAGCAATCTCAAACTCGAAAAGAAATACAATGAGGACTCAAGAGGCCCTTCTTTTAAATCAAATGTGCATTTCCAGGTGTATGCAAATCAATGATAACTCATCTCACCTAGAGGGGGTACCATAAATATATAAAACTGTCAGTGTATTATGCAATTACATCTAAAAATCATGTCCTGTATGCAAAATAAAACGTTTTGCTTTCTGTGGGGAACCAACCCTGTGAAGTACAGGAGCAAATATCACATGGAGAAGCCATTTATAACCAAGAGATTTCACAAGTATTTTTAAAATGCCTTTGGGTATTGATAGAATTTCTACATTATACTTATAGCATAAATGGCCATCTGCTGCAACAGATTGTTTAAAAAGAAAGGGAGAAACCATGGTAAATCTGTCTTTGAACCTGGAGGTGAGAGACTCTATTCATGTGTTCAACCAGGCTGGGCGGCTCCTCCCTGCTGGGTTGATCACAGCTTAGAGCAATCAGGATAAAGACTATTTCAGGTTTCCCGTAGGCTGGCTGGGCATCCTTCTAGGGACTCCCTAATAATCGGAATTCAGGACATGTTCTTCGGCAGGGGTATCTAGCATGCACTCCCCGCTAAGGAAAAATTTACAAAGCATAGAAATCATCACAGCTCGGTTAACGAGGCAGAGGACTGTGGTTCCATCCGCAGCAGAGAAGCTGAACGACTCCTTTTTTTTTTTTTTTTATTTCACCGTCCAGTGTCACAGGTTTAAAAGCCTTTGTCCAATTCAGAGGCCAGACAAGAGAGGGGAGGGGAGGGCACTCATCACCACCCTTTGGAAATCACTGAGGACAGAGCCCCATGCTCAGGCAGGTGAGGATTATACAGCAAGACAGACCAAACAGCCCATTTATCTAAAGACCCGATTCCTTCCCTCAGAGAGGATGAGAAAGGAAAGAAGGACCAGGGGAAATGATGGGCTTCCATCCTGAGCTCCTCCCTGCAGGTGGCTGAGGAGTCCCTACCTGTCAAAGATCTTCTGTGGCTGCATCACACTGTTGACCACATGGGTCAGATGGTCTCGCACAGCGACCACTTCCGGGGGAGGGTCGTATATATTTACTGCAGCCACCTTTTCGTATTAGAAATATGAAAGGAAAACAAGTTCATTTCTAGAAGGAAGACAAAGCTTAGCTTTTCTTAAAGGAAATATTCTAGACAGGCAACCGCATTTCCTGTCTATGCCCTTGAGTTAACAATAGCAAAGGGTTACCACACAGCAGCTGCCTGCCATCCAAGGGGGTTGTGCCATGCCAGTGTTGCTCTAACCAGTTTTAATTACAATTTTTTCCTATCCCTTTCACCATGCCATTTGTCTTTCAGGATGCTCAGAAAGCTGTGAGTTCAATTTTTCAAGTCTACTCGAACTTTCCTACAACCTAAATAACGATTCCTTAAAATATTAAAAAAAAATAAAAATAAGTAAAATATTGAGCTATCGTCCCTGGGTCTCCTACTTCTTTATACTACCTGGTTTGATGACAGAAAAGTAAAAACAAAAAACCTCTGCGCCCATGATCCACTGTAAATTTGCAAATATTCCAACTTTCAGTATGAGAAGGAATAAAATTCATTATTCTGGATTCCGGGCAGCTGTACTACAGAATTTTGTGGCTCTTGCTATTCGCCAAGATCTGTTCCCATTATTTCATTCTACCAAAACCTCCTCCTCCTCTGGCTTAACTTTCTCCATTCAAGGACCCGGGCCTTTCCTCAGAATGCACTATTCTCTGTTCCCTTGTCTCGGTCACCCTGCTAAACACATTATCCTTGTGTATCACACTTCATTTAATACAGGGTTTAAAATTTTATTCCTTTTACAAAATATTAAAGGGAAAGAGGAATCTAATAAATGCCTGTAAGTGTGAGAATAACAGGCTAGCAACTGTACCTGTTTTTAATCAAGATTTCAGAAAGGCATGTATGAAATGAAATGTCTGCCTCTGCATTCATTCCTGCTTTCAGGCTCATCTCAAATTGACATCCAATGTAAGAAACCCCTCATGAGTGGAGATTTTAGCTGTCTCAGGTCACTAGGGCAAGAGCAAGCAGCTGTCCCTGGGATCGTAGTGGGAGGGTGGCAGGGGCTAGCCTTAAAGGTCTGTCACTCTTAATCATTATTTTAAAGACCTCATTAGGGGCTTCCGTGGTAGCTCAAGGGGGTAAGATGCAACCTATGAAGCTGTCCACAGCCACTGCAGCCCAAGTTCGATCCCTGGCCAGGGAGCTACCCACATGGTGCAGCAGACCTCTCCTGTCTCGCCGGCTGCTCCCCTCAGCAGTGGATTTCAGTCGATCTGCCTGTTCTGTTCCCCACTCTGTCTCTGGTGAAATCTCTCACCCCCACCTCTCTGCCCTGTACCACAGTTCTTGTATGCATAATAAATGTTTAAAAAAATAAAGATCACATTTTTTTAAACATCACTATTAGAGCAATGATTTGAGTGCCTTCTGATGATGTCAGAATGACATTCTAATACTTTTCATTATTATTATTATTTTAGATTTATTTATTTATTTATACAAGCACTGGGTACAGTCAGAAGCGCAGGAGGGTGAGAGAATTTACCAGAGCCAGAGCTGGGAACAGAACAGGCAGAGTGATGAAACACACTGCTGAGGGCAGCAGAGGGCGTGGCAGGAGAGGTCTGCACGCCATGTGGGACCCTCGCCGGCTGCCGGGGATCAAACTGGCGCTGCAGAGGCTGCAGGCAGCTTCGCAGCCCAGCGCTCAACTGCTGCGCCACCAGGGGAGGCCCAAAACTTTTCATTATTAAAATGAAGTTTGGGAGTAACGCAGAATGACTGCACACCCTCCAAAAATGAGCATGAACCCCATGAACAGTCTGCCATCACTCTGCTGGCCCAGATGAATGGGGTGCTGCTCTTCCCCCCAATCTCTCCACCATGTCAGCAGAGGGTGTTTACTGAGTTTGTGTTGATGCTTAGCTTTGCAGAGGGTTCGACTGACAGCCCGGGACAAGAACATACTCCCCAAATAATTAATTTACGCAGTGTTAGGTGTGCCCTTTAGGGATTATATCGCTCCCACGGCGAGCAGTGGGCACTGCTCAGCACATGACCTCTCAACATGGGAAGTGACGGGATCACATACCTTTTCCTCCACTGTAATCTTCTTCTGATCTAATTCTGTTAATCGTAGCAGCATAAAAATGACGAAGAACCAATAATCAGATTTTTCCTATTTAAAAGAGCAAGTGGACGATTCAATTTGCCTTCCTTTCCCCAAACTCACGAGCACCAGCATTCTGCGGTCAAGAGCAGCTCGTTCACCTACAAGGCCCTGCTGCCCCCACACCCCCTCCCCTCACTGCTCTGTCCTCTTCACTCTCACCGGCTCCCTTGTGTGAATGATGCAAATGCGGGCTGTTCCTGTTAAATTACAAACTCTTCAAATGTGTGATCTCCCTAATCTCCCCGTGAGACAAGCAGAAAAGTATGATTTACCTTTATAATTTTTTTCTGCGCAAAAAGCCTCAGCGAGGCTCTCCCCTAAGGCTCCTGCCAGCGACTCAAACCCTAGTCTAATGCCGAGGGGTTGCATTATCTCAAAATGACACATTATTAAGACTTTCTCACTGTTTATTATTACTTGGCATAATTCGGATCGATGACACATTTTTTACAATAGCAAAACAATTTCATTGGTAGAACCACCTCCTTATTATACTCAACCATCTACTCTGTTAAGAGGATCTGCCTTTTAGAAACACAATGGAAGATTTTTATATGAAGAAGTGACATCTCTTTGAAGGGAAAGGTTAGTGGATGATGCATGTTGTAGATGAGTATGCACATGAATGAAGACCCAAAGGTGTCTCATGTGTACTGCAGTGTGTAGGGGGAGGGGGCAGCTGTATATATAAGTGAGTTCATGTGTGTGAAAGGGTTTTGCTGTTTGTTTATGCACCTGCACACTCTGCCCGCCTGAAACTGGGGTGATGGACTTTGTAAGCCCCACTCCCCTCTTTCCAAAAGGTCCTTTCAAATTCCTTGCCATTCCCATACCAAGGATTGTTTTTATTGTTCAATCTTATTTTTCATTTTGTTTTCTTTCTGTCTGTCTGGATTTATTCATCAAAATGAAAAAACTCACACAAAAATCAAGGTACTCAGAGATAAATACGAATGCAAGACTCAATGAAAAAGTAAGAGAAGTGTGTGGGGGGTAGGGGAAGTGGATGAAGGACATAGGGGCATAAATAGAAGGACAGAGACTAGGAGAAAGGAAAGACCTATCGATGGAGAAAAAGAGAAAGGCCTGAAAAGGAGTGGCAAGCTTTTGAATCCCCAGGGTAAAGAATCCATAGGAAAGGCATCGTTTTTTCCTACAGTCATTTTATGACACTGCCAGTCCCACAGCTAAATCCAGGCAAATTAAGATTAGGTATCTAATCTTTCCCTGTTATGAAACAGGAACCATATTCTGCCAACACCACCAGCACTGCGCATTTGCTAACATAAAAGGATGTTGCCAAGGATGTTGCCCTACCATCTCACTCGCTCCCTATAATCTTTATTGCCACCTGGATGAGTCATAAATGACCACACATAGTAGGTAACCAACCTTTGATTTCACTTTACGGGCACTGATAGGGGCTCCTAGGTGCTACTTGGCTTATCCCTTCTAATTGTTTCCTACCAGACAAAGAAGGATAATAAATACACTATTTATTTAGCATAGCTCTGAAGTTCTTTACCAAAGCACTCCCTGAAAGAATTCTAACATCTTCATCCCCCTTTCTTTGCTATAAACACTCTCACCTGAATTGGATTTCCCAGAAGATTGAGAACTCGAAGGAGAGGTAGATGCTCAATGTATTCTATTTCGTTCAGCTCAGCAATCTGTTTAATCAGAGAAACAAAATATTATCTACAGACTAAATGTACAAAGACAATAAAAAACAAAATATAAAGGAAGCTACTCTGGATCCTTTAAATGCAACTCATTTTAAAAAGCTGCTCTGTTGAATATCCAGCTTTTTAAAAGATTTTTATTTATTTATTTATTTTTAAAGATTTTTTTTTTTATTTATACAAGAACCGGGGTACAGGCCAGATGCGTGGGAGGGTGAGAGGATTCACCAGAGACAGTGGGGAACGGAACAGGCAGACTGACGAAATACACTGCTGAGGGGAGCAGTGGACGAGACAGGAGAGGCCTGCTAGCCATGTGGGTTGCTCCAAGGCTGGCGGGGATCAAACTGGCACTGCAGAGGCTGCAGACAGCTCCACAGCACTGCGCTCAACTCGCTGCGCCACCGGGGGAGGCCCTAGATTTATTTTTTATTTATACAATAGCTGGGGTACAGGCCAGAGGTGCGGGAGGGTGAGAGGATTCACCAGAGAAAGAGTGGGGAGCAGAACAGGCAGACAGGCCAAAAGCACTGCTGAGGGGAGAAGCATGCGAGTCAGAGAGGTCTGCCGCGCCATGCGGGTTGCTCCCTGGCTGTCTGGGGATCGAACTCATGCTACAGAGGTTGCAGACAGCATCATAGGTTGTGTCTTAACTCCTTGCACCACCAGGGAGGCCCTTTTTTTTTTTTTTTTTTAAAGATTATTTATACAAGAACTGGGGTACAGGTCAGAGGCATGGGAGGGTGAGAGAATTTGCCAGAGATAGAGCGGGGAGCAGAACAGGCAGACAACCAAAAACACTACTGAGGGGAGCAGTAGGCGAGACAGGAGAGGTCTGCCGCACCATGTGGGTATCTCCCTGGGGCCGGTTGGGAATCGAACCTGCGCTGCAGAGGCTGCGGACAGCCTCACAGCACTGTGCTCAATCCACTGCACCACCAGGGAGGCACTTTTTAATGATAATTCTGCAAAGTCCTATTGACAGGGAATCACTACAATGCCCTTCAATATCCATGAGCATACACAGTCTTTGTCTATGGTCAGATAACAGTGAGAATTTTCTCCTCTCAGCCATGTTTATTTTAAAACAGAAATAAAACAGTATGTAGAATCAGTATCAAAAACACATGCAAAGTCCTGGTTCTCTTCCCCTCCCCCATGAATCCTTCCTCATCTTCCAGTTCCCGGATCTCCCTTCCCAGCACAACTTCTGCTACCTGGTTATTTGTGGCTGGTGACGCCTCTTGCTGCCTGCACATGCATAATGCGATCATGTTTTCAATGAGTTAATTATAGTATAGAAAGATAAAAATGAAAATTGCATGATATATTCCTTGGTGGAGGTGTTACATAGGTGTTCGGCCTAACATTTTTTGTTGAACTGTACATTTATGTTTTACACTCTTCTCTGTATAGGTTATGTTCCACAACTTGACATGTAAAGAGGGAAAAAGAGAGCTTGATAGTGTCTTAAACTGACCAGGGATAGGGCCTCCCCGGTGGCGCAGCAGTTGAGCGCTGGGTTGCGAAGCTGCCCACAGCCTCTGAAGCTCTGGTTCGATCCCCGGTTGCTCCCCCGCCACCGGAGGAGGGTCCCACATGGTGCACAGACCTCTCCTGCTGCCCGCTGCTCCCCTCAGCAGTGTACTTCGGTCCTTCTGCCTGCTCTGCTCCCCGCTCTGGCTCTGGTGAATTCTCTCACCCTCCCGCGCTTCTGACTGTACCCAGTGCTTGTATAAATAAATAAATAAATAAATAAATAAATAAATAAAAATCTTTAAAAAAAAAAAATTGACCAGGGATAGAGCTTGGGTTGCAGCAGACCTAAATTCTCCACTAAAGACCAATAGTTTTATTTAAAACACCCCAAAATAGCATAATTAGAATTTTATTTCAAATGTAGATATTGAACTTCTGCAAGAAATTAATAATCACTTTTTAATTTCTACTTTTCCCCAAGTCATTTCTGTACACCTTGTGAAAGCACTCCTCCAGTAGGATAGACTAATTCTGGAGTTCTCCAGCCACATGACACCATACACAAGACAGCCAACCATAAGATCAACTGCTCCCCAGGGGGCAGGGTGCGGCATGTGCCATATTCAAAGGACGACACTTCCTAACACACAACACAAAAGGTGAAGTTCCAGGGGCCTCCCAGGTGGGGCAAGGGGTTAAGTGTCAGCACTATGAAGCTATCCGCAGCCACTGCAGCATGGGTTCAATCCCCAGCCAGAGAGCTGACCCACATGGTGCAGCAGACCTCTCCTGTCTTGCCAACTGCTCCCCTCAGCAATGTATTTCAGTTAATCCACCTGTTCTGCTCCCCACTCTGTCTCTGGTGAATCCTTTCACCTCCCTGCACCTCTGGCCTATACCCCAGCTCTTGTGCACATAAACAAATCTTAAAAAAAAAAAAAAAAGGTGAAGTCCCAGTTCCAGGGCACAACCTGTGCATCTCTGAATAACTGCCATCAGCTGTCAGTATCTGAAGGTTCATGCAGCTGACATTCTTTAGTCTAGATGGTAGGTTTGTGAGCATGGACTAGAAGGAAAGACCCCCCTCTCCAAAAAAAAAAAATCCACTAAAATGCTCTCCTTATCAAGCTGAACTTATGGGCTTCTGGGAGATGGGGATTATGTATGTATAAGGAGCCCCAATGCCTCCAAAAACATCCTTCCTATCTGACACTCATGGTGGATGTACCTTTGCCAGGTAAAACAGGGACTGATTTTAGAAGATCTGTCATCCCAGGCTCAGCCACCTCTATACAAGTATTGTAACGCCTAGGAGGCTCAGATACCCCAAGGGATCCTCTGGGCCAACCCTCTCCTTACAGGATTAACAAACAACTCCAGAGAGAAATTAAGTTCACTTAGAAGCCACATTGCGCTCAATCCCCCCAAATTCTTTTTGTGCACATATATGAACAGAGGTATGTGTCAGAATCCCCAACGAGACAAAAGTAACAGCCACACACTTGCTTGCCTGAGACACTAAGTGCATCTATTTCTGAACAACAATAAACAAGAGGTCCTCCGTGAAGAATGGCCTCCTTATATAAAGCATCACAACCATAAAGACTAGGGTAATGGCTTTTAGCTGCAGTAGCCCCCATCAGCATTCAGGGAGAATGATCTAGAGTATGGTCGAGAGCACTGCAGAGATGTGAAGACTAGGACCTCTGCCGGGGCTGCAGCTGTTACCAGGATTTCAGTTATTTCCATGGTTCTGTTAGTCTGTGAGTATTACTGAGGGTGATCTTGTTTTTTTTTTTTTTTTTTTTTAAAGATTTATTTATTTTATTTATACAAGCACTGGGTACAGTCAGAAGCGTGGGAGGGTGAGAATTCACCAGAGACAGAGCAAGGAGCAGAACAGGCAGACTGACGAAATACACTGCTGAGGGGAGCAGCGGGCGTGGCAGGAGAGGTCTACGTGCCATGTGGGGCCCTTGCCTGGGATTGAACCGGCGCTGCAGAGGCTGTGGGCAGCTTCGCAGCCCAGCACTCAACCACTGTGCCACCAGGAGAGGCCCGAGGGTGATCTTGTTAATCCTTACAACAATTCAGAAAAGTAACTGGGAATGCATACTGGGAAATAATGATGTTGACGCAGAGAAGTAAAATAGCATTCTCTAAGTTACTCCCAAATCGACATCTTGCTTCCCGGAGAAAGGACTGAGGTTGCAATAGTGTTACTAGGGGGAGGAGGGGAAATCTACATGCTAGAAATGACATCAAAAGATCAAGGACTATACAGTGGAGGGTGATAGAGGCCCCCAAATTATAGCCCCTAATGAACATTCACAAAGGATCTTAAGAGATGATGAAATGGTCACATGAAGGTACTGCAATGTCTCAACAGCTAAAACCAAGTAAACAACACTGGTGAGCATGCTACCAATCAATCAATATTCCTGACATCAAAAGGATCCCACGACAAGCAATGGCCATGTTGTGTTTCTTTTGAATAAGAAGTTTTCCATCTCTGATACTCGGTATTCCCAGCAGTGCTGGAGAAATCTCTGAGGAGCTCTCTGGAAGACTCAAAGAATATTTCAAAGTACTGTCGTTGCTCCCCAACCTGCCCAGCAGGGAGCCCGGAAATTATGTTATTGTTACAGACCCAATTGTTGCCAAAGGATCTCCCCCCCAACCCTCCCCACCACCCCCCCCACCACCCCCCCCCCCCGCTTGGGACAGGTGGCCACTTTTTTTTTATGGAATCTCTTTAACATTTGAAAATTATAAACTCCTTTTTTTCACTTAATGGTGCCTTTTTTTTACCCTTTTCTCAACTTTTTCAAATGTAATTTGAAAAGTCTCTTGAAATGAAAGAGAACAGGAAACTACTCATGAATTCTTTCTAGACTTGCACTATCTAACATCGTAGCTACTGGTTACATGTGGCTACTTGGAACATGGCTAGGATGAATTCAAATGGCGGTGTCAAAAACTTAGCATGAAACAACAGAATATAAGATACCACCTTGATCACCTTTATGTATATTACGTGTTAAAATGATATTTTAGGTATGTTGAGCTAAACAACATGTTATTAAAATTAATTCCACCTACCTCCTCTTCAGCATTTTAATGTGACTACTAGAAGATTTAAAATCACCTATGTGGCTTGCATTTACAGCTCGTATTATATTTCTATCAGGAAGCACACACTTTCAGATCATTGCATCGAACGCTTTTTTGAGGGGAAATAACATTTAATCACTATATTACCCAGGAGGGTTAAGAACACTGCTTCTGGAGGCAACCCATTCTGTACTGGGCTCCTGGCTCTGCCGCTTGTTAGATATTTAACTTTGGGAAAATTACTTAACCTCTCTGTGCCTCAGTTTCTTCATCTGTAAAAAAGCAATAATAATGGGCTTGTAGTGGTAGTGACAGTTACATGAAATGATACACATAAAGTGCTTAGAACAGTGTCCTCTAAGTACTCAGTACCTCTAGATTTTAGACTCTAGTTATTATTATCACCACTACTCCTTTTCCTAAATCCTGAGATGTACCAAGTCAAGATTTAACAAGTACATTTCACCTTTCCAACACCAAAATGGTGAGAACCATTTTAGAGGCAGTTTGATGAAAAAGACCAACTATATGAATCGGAGATTGTACTGACTTCACAGGAGACACAGTGCCGTGAATAAAAGTCACCCATTAGAATTAGCTTTAGAAATTGACAAAATAATTTCACATACAAATCAAGTGAAAAAGAGAAAAAAGAGTTTTGTCTGTGATTGGAAATCCACTTCTTGCCATATCTAGTGAATGACTTTTCTTGGTGTTTAGAAATCTAACAGGTGGTGGAAGTTGACTGAAGAAACATTCATCAGACAACTTGATATAAGAATGATCACAGCTGAACAGAACCTCATATGTCACCCAAGGTAGGACCAATGTCTCATCAGTGTCAGCCAAACATTTCACTTTCAGGAAGAAGTACACATTCAACTTGCTTATGAAATCTTTCTCCAAAATATGACAAAGTGCGTAGTATGAATATAATCACTGTGTAGACTTTACAGCATAAGAAGTCAGCTAGAGCTACCAAATTAATATGCTATGGTTAGGAGGACAAATGCTTTATTAAACATAAAATTTCATTAAGAGTGAAAACCAATTTATGTATAATTTTTGAAGTTTGCATTACGCCAGATATGGAAATTTGAATAAATCCAATCCCCAAATCATACATATTAGGAATAACTCACTGTTGCTACAAATAGAATATAAGAATTTACTCCCTGTGCCTCTTCTCTTTCAATGGCAGGTATGGGCAACACCAGCCTGAGGCTACTCTTACATCTCCATTTTCCTTGTTCTGACATTTTAGGCATTCCTATGGCAACTTTCTACACATACACACCTTCTTCAGAAAGTCATGTGCAGTTGATAATTTAGGGCATGGCTGCAGTTTAAAATTTTAAAAGATTGTGTCTGGGAGTGAATTTTTCAAAAATTAAAAATTGAAAACATTTACAAATTTTTTTTTAAGTCCTGCGACTACAGCTCCAGGAGGTTTTCTAGAATAACATTTAATGTGGCATTTAATGTGACAACCCTTGAGAAACCAGTAATAGGTCCAAGCAAGTCCCCTTATGAGATACTGAAGCCAAGACACATCGAGTGTGACATTACCTTATTATTCTCTAAGTTGATGATTTCCAAAAACTCATGATTCTCTAAGCCTTGGAGGCTGCTGATCTCATTGCAGGACAGATCCACGAGCTGCAGGACTCTTAGTTCCTCCAAACCCGTGATCTTCTCAATCTGGTTATTTCTCTAAAAATGGATAAAAACACTCAATGTCTTAAAGGCTTCTAGCAGGAAAAAACACAGTGATAAGTTCTTATCCTGGATACTGTCCCAAATCTCTTAAGTAAGCCCACACTACTATTTTCATCAATCACCTCCCTAACCACATATACAGATGCCCCAGAAAGGATTCCCAGTTTTTCAGCCGAAAGGATAGAATGCAGCATTTCACTACAGTTTTACAAGATAAATGCTAAAATTGATAAGACAACAGCTAAGTAGCAGAAGCATGCAATGGCAGCCTAAATCCATGTTTATCTTTAGAAATATAAATGTAACATGATTCCTTCATCACTGTCACAACAAATCAGTTGAGTATTGTCATTTCTGCATACAACATGGTTTTCAGAAACATTCTAAATTCAGAAAAATTCTAAACATTCCAAATAGTCACTTCATGTCATGAGGGTTGTAGTAGTTTGACACACATCCCCCGTTGTTCATGCTCTTGTGCAGTCCCCTCCTCTTGAATCTACCTTGGATCGATAACTCATCTTTATCAAAAGAAAATGGCGGAAGTCTGCAAAACCCCAAGGCAAGACTTGAGAAGGCCCGGGAGCTTCTCCTCTTGTGTCATGGAGCCCTGAGCTGCCATGTAAGAACTCTAGCTACTCTTCTGAAGAGAACTGGTGAAGAGGTCACTTGTGGGGGAGATAAGATTCAGAGGGGCAATCGGAGTAAACAGAGGAAAAACCCAGCCATTCTGGCCCCTAGTCAATCAGCCAGCTGGGTGAGGCACAAGAACTACACAGCAGCACCTGGCTCAGACTCGGAATTGCTAGTTAACAAAACAGTTAATTACTAACATTTCTCCACACTACACCTGGGGTGGCCAGTTAAACAACAGATAACCAAACTCGGTTCTTCAATAATTTACCCGTAAGCATCTTCTTCAACAATAAGCATAAAACAAAGATTTAAGACTCAAATGTTGTCCTCTTTCCCAACCCCAACCTCTGTGTACGCAGAACAACAAACCATAGTGATAGTGATCATAGTAATTTGCATTTTCTTGTACATTTTCCAATATATTCATAATTCCTTGGGTTCCTTAGTCTTCAAGAGGTAATAACGTGCTATAATAAAGCTAAACTTTGAGTTAAAGTTGAGAATCACAACAAAGAGTAACTTTGAAATTTCAATTAATGCCACATTATGCCCATTTTTTAACTTTGAAAACATAGAATAAGCACTTAGGAACTAAGAAATTAAATTATAGCATTCTCCTCAATCTATAATCTTTTTCTTGGTACACATTTCCTGGTACATTTAAAAGCAAGAGCTCATTTTCATCCTATTTTTCATACGATTTCACTTCAATAATGAGGAAGATTTGCATTCATTAGTATAATTTTATGACTTTAAAATATATGAATAGAATGCTGACAATCTATAATGCTGAGTGATTGTACATGGGGGCTCATTAAACTATTCCCTTTATTTTTATATATGTTTGAAAGCTTCCATAGTAAGGAGGAAAAAAACACTTATAACCCCATTCCCCTAAGGTAAGGCATATTTCCTACTGTTCAGAGTTCAAAAAAGTTATAGAAAAAGGTAATAGCAAAGGGAAAGAAAAAAACTACACTAAACTTAACATAATATCCATATTAATTTAGCTTATTGAAATAAGGCCTCAATATCCTATTTGAAATATGCCCACATATCAAATTTATATACAATACACTTTTTCCCAAAGACCTTTGAGGTGCTATAGATGTGGAAGATAGACAATAATAATTCTTTACAGTGTCTCTGATGGCTTTCAAAGTGGTTAGATGTCTGAGAGTAGAGTGAGGAATAGAAAAATTTAATTAGATATCCTACAGTCATAAAAGAAAGCAGAAGTGGGAAAAATTCAGTCAGAATTTCTGAAAGTCATCAATGCAACCACTTTGTCCATCGCTAAGACAGATACTTCACTCCCAAAAGTGGACATCCAGTTTCTGCAAGAACGGTTCTTGCTCATTCTATCATGACAAGTGGAAAGGGAGTCTCGTGAGATAGCTAGAGTCTTAAATAAATGAAACAAGAAACAGTCTTAATCTACGACTTGGGAGTCAAAAACAAGCAACTCTTACTCAGACAAAATGAAGTTGAAGGTCTGGAATGTACTTTCCTTACTGCTAGCCCACAAGTGACCCACCTTTCCTTTCATCATAAAAGTTGATGGAAGAGAATTATATAGTGATTTGGTCTTTTTTTGTCTACATTGTAAAATGCATTCTTTTCAATTGGTTTTCTGATTCCACAAAATGTTTAAAAAGCATTAAGAATTATGGAAGCAAATGTGTATCACCCATGTATTTTATTTGGTAAAGAAAACCTTCCCATACCCAAATGTTTTAAGGACAATGAATGATGACAGCATAACTAATTTTTTTTTTTATTTTTTATTATATTTTACATCATTCTTCCTTTTTGTACAATGTGTGCTTTCTCCTCTCAGGTGTAGCCCCATATAATTCCCACCACCTAGTCACCCGTGCACCATCACCACAGTCCCTTGTGCTCTTCCCTCCCCTGACTTAAACCCTCTCCCTCCCCTGCAGAGTGTCTCTAATTTATAATTGCCCGTTAATTTTGCTTTTTAATTATTTTTTTTCTTGAACCCTTATTTGGTTGCCCTATATTCTTCCTATAAGTGAAATCATCCGATATTTTTCTTTTTCTTTCTAGGTTATTTCGTTGAGCATAATCCCTTCTAGTACTATCCATGCTGCTGTGAATAGCATGAGTTTATCTTTTTTGACTGCTGAGTAAGATTCCATTGTGTATAGGTACCACATCTTCTTGACCCACTCATCAATTTTTGGGCATTTGGATTGTTTCCATATCTTATCTATTGTAAATAGTGCTGCAATAAACATAGGGGTGCAGATAACCTGCATTTAAGTTTATCTTGGGTGATGAGGACAGGGGATGGGACAAACCACCTAATCTATTTATAGAAAAAGCAGGCATTTTATGCTTTCTCTAAAAGTTACTTGAAAGGGAACTGCCAACATGGATTTCTTAGTTATTGGAACAAACTCTGAGGATGAACGTGTTATGTGTTGTTACTCCCAAGTTCAATTCTGATTCCCTTAATAAGATCACCACCCCACATATCATGCTCCACTGAAGTTAATGGGAATGCCAGTCCAGAAAAGACTTGGAAAGGAAAGGAAAAGCTTCTAGCCAGCTACAAGGTGATGGTACATATTGCTAATAATCCTGCAAATCATCCAGTTCTCTCTCATAGTTTTTCAATTTTCAATCCAACTTATCAAATTCACTTTCATTTCTGTTTTGCTAACCCACCTTCACAAGCAGAAAATGTGGAACCTTGGGGAAATTATTAGACCTTTCCACATCTCAATTCCATCCTCAGGACTCACTGTGAGACGTAAATGGTCTTTTTAAAAAAACACTTCAAGCAAAAAAGCTATGGGAAAGAAAATGGACAGATAGGCAGCCTTCAGATGTCTGTGATTAAATAAGATAGAATAATATGCGTGTGTGTGTGTGTGTGTGTGTGTGTGACATATATGTCTAAAATCTGCAGATAATCCAAGATGCCATTTCAAACAATAGTTCAACAGTCCCCTGTGGGGGATTTCATAGAGGAAATTAGTAAATCACCAGCTTCATTACTTAAAACTCTTCCTGCCCACCTGGTGACACATGTACTAAAAGAAGAGCAGAGCCATCCCAGGGTTAGAATAGGAGGGAGGAGGAAAGGAAGAAGAGAGAGTCCCTTGGGTAACCCACAAACTATATATTGTCATTCCCCAAATTAGTGAGCTATACCTAATTAGTGAGCTATACCTAAGACTAAGATATATATATATATTATTTCAAAAATAATATATATATATCTCTTTGTGGTTAGAATATATATTATATATCATATATATAACACATATATAATAATATAGATATAATTATATAATTTATATATAGATATAATTATATATCCTTGTGGTTATAATGATCCTGCTGTTATTTTCGTAAATTATCTGTATTTTCATTGAATCATAGTCATATAATATGTCATCTTGCTGGAGAAGAATGTTCTCTACAGGAAAATATTTTTTAACTTTCTGATTAAAGTTGTTCATTTGTTCTCTGAACTAATTCTGGTTTTCTAGAATAGACTTGCATGCATCAGTATAATAGGAATTCCAAAACTCGGTGCTCAGAGAACATCGTATGGTTCATTGGAGAGCAATAAAGTATTATCAGCAATAAATTTTATGTTTAGATATACTTAAATGCAGCTTTAGCAGTAAGACATTATAAAAAGCATTTTAATAGTTGTTAAGTGTATACCCATCTCAGTGTAAAAAAAGTCAATCTTTTAAAAAATTGAATTTGGATGCCATATTAGAAAATCATTTTACCTTATCATTAAATGTTGATAATGCACACACGCACACACACCCCGACACAGAAAGGAGCAAACAAAATTAAAGACATTAACATGTCATTAAGGAGTTAGCTCTTTATAAAATTGAAAATTCCTAAGTAATTATAATTCATACATTTTCTAACACATTAACTAGAACTTGTATAAAGAATAATGCCCTTAAACGCAAAAACACTAATTCGAAAGGAAACCCACACTCCTATGTTTATTGCAGCACTATTTACAATAGCCAAGATATGGAAACAATCTAAATGCCCCAAAATAGACAAATGAATCAAAAAGCTGAGGTCTGTTTACACAACGGAATCTTACTCAGCAATCAAAAAAAGACAAACTCATACCATTGGCAGCAACGTGGATGGAGCTGGAAGGGATGATACTCAGTGAAATAAGTCAGAAAGAAAGATAAATATTGGATGGTCTCACTTATATGTGGAATATAGAGAAACCAAACAAAAGGTAAAGAAAAAAGTCAAAACTAGCATGCACCCAAGGCAATCAGCACATGTGGGGAGGAGAGAGCAGGGTCAAACGGGGGAGGAAAGAGCACACGGGACTATGGTGACAGTTCATGGGTGACATGGTGGTGGGAGAACTCTGGGGGCTACAACGATGTAAGAAAAAACAAAGAACAACACTTTTATTAGACTTACCAGACAAAGTGTCTTGAGGGGTAACGCATGTAAGCCACCGATGGCCTTGATCTTGTTTTGGGCCAGGCTGAGGTGCGCCAGGCTGCAGCACTGCTCCAGGCCGCTGATCTCCTCGATCTCGTTGTCTGTATACCAGGACTGTTTAAGGAAAATGTGATTGGAGGCATTTGAAGAAAAAAAGAACCCGAGTTAAATCCACATTGGCAAAGGCAGGCACAGGCATTAATAAAGCAGTCCTCTAGACCCAACACAGGAAGAACACCAAATCTCTAAGTGTATTTTTTCATAGAGCAGTGCATACTAGTGCCACTCAAAATCAGATTTAAACAACAACAACAAAAAATAAGATTTACATGAATGCAGTGAGTGGGTGACGAGCGAAGTTTCAGAGAGGCTCAGCTGCCTCGTGGTCTCCCTGAGACACTCGGCACTTCCCCCAGGCAGGCCTTCTCATACAGGCCGCCCTGGAGAGGCAGCAGGCACTTAGTTTGGGTGTCCTGCTACTAAGCAGCGCACAGCCTTGATGTCACAGCTTGGATGTCCTGTGAGCAAATGGGTAGTGACAAATCACTAACACCCATTACAGAGAGGAGCAGTCTTTCCTTGCTCTTTTGGTCTCTCTTTTCTCTTTAAAATAAAGGAGGCCCGGGCCTCCCCGGTGGCACAACGGTGGAGCGCTGGGTTGTGAAGCTGCCTGCAGCCTCTGCAGCGTAGGTTCGCTCCCCGGCCGCTGGGTGAGGGTCCCACATGGCGCCCGCTGCTCCCCTCAGCAGTGTACTTCGTCAGTCTGCCTGTTCTGCTCTCCTCTCTGTCTCTGGTGAATTCTCTCACCCTCCCACGCTTCTGACTGTACCCAGTGCTTGTATAAATAAATAAATCTTTTTTTAAAAAATAAAATAAAATAAAATAAAGGAGGCCCAAGCGCTACCTTCCTGTTCTCATCTGTGGATGAAGTTTCCAGTCATCTTAAAATTTAACTTTTTATATTGTGTGTGCCCCGTCCCTATTAGTCATGTAAAAATTATTGTCTCAAAGTCACCAATGCCACTCACCTCTCTCTGCCCCCAATCCCTGCAGCTGGTCTCCAGGATTTAATATCATTTTCCCACAAAAGCTTAGTTAATACTGCCAGGTCGTCCAAACCATCACCATCTTCTCAGCCATTTGTAATCTTAAGGACTTCCAATCAATCACCAAGACCTGGAATTTTTGACTTGAAACATCTCTTGAATTAGCCCCTTCATTTTCCTTCACTCCTCTGCCAACCTAATTCAGCTTTAGCACCAACAGGCACCCCTAACATCCATTTCTCCCTGCCTGCAAGTCACCTGACACACTCTCCTCATGTGAATTCTTCCAAAATAAAGATTAGATATCACACTTCATTCAAAAATCCTCATAGGACAAAATTCAAATTCTTCACTCTGGCACTGAAGGCCCTTCACAATAAGGAAAATCTCCTTATCCGGTTTCATCGCCATTATAATCCAAAGAGAATTCTCCAATTCAGCCACATCAGTCTTCTCCGGAGTTCTGGGATGCGTCAAGAACTTTCTTACTTGACACTATCTTTTTTTTGTTTGTTTTTTTCCTACTCTATTTTAAACCCTGCCCATTCTTCAGGACCAAATTCTACTTTTTTTTTTTTTTTCAACTTTTAACATTCCTATTAAACAAAAATCCTAAGCATTTCTTTTTTGAAAGATAATCTCGTATTTTCTTACTGCTCTGTACCTGCTTAATCACATAAGTAAGTACAAATGAGGACCTGGGAGAACATATTCCTGACACATTTAATACACAAAGGATTACTATCTAGAGGGCATAGGAGCAACAATTACTGGGAAAAAATGATAAAACAAATACTTTCATAGAACTGGGTGAGAGGCTTCATTCTGCTAGAGCTACTCTGGAGGCGATTATAATATAGTAATTTACAATTACTAGAATTATATAAATATGTCACAGCAATTCCACTTCTTATTTGCTCTAGACAAACTATTTCTTCCTCAAAGCTCTTCCTGGTCAACTTCTAACCCTCCCACCCCCCTCCAGCTATCTCCCTCCATTAATGATGGAATCAGTCATTATTTTAAAGGACGGGGAAGGGACCATAAGTATCACAAAAAGTTATTTTGCCTCATAATTATTTGTAGTCATCTCAACTCTACTACTTACTAGTCATGGAAAACTTTACTTCTCTCTGCTCATACTTTTCGCTTGGAAAGTGGGGGTAACACCAGATCACACTGAAGCCCGAAAGGTAGATCATGGAGAAGACATCAGAAAATGGATGTGAGTGAGCTACACAAAGCATAAAGCATCTCCCAGTGGCAAGGCCTGTTCTCACTGCTAAAGTTCAAGTACATGAGGTCAAGGAGTCACGACCGAAAGCACAAAATAGAAGATTCTTCTGAAAAGATCCAGGTCAGAGAAAGAAGCGAGTTAGGAAACTAGAAACAATAATGAGGAAATAACTGTAGACATCCCGAGTTTTTCCTTCACTGGTGTTTGATTTGATCCTTGGACTAAAGCATCGTTCTGCTTGTTGGCAATAGAGCAACACACTGCCAGGATACTTTCCTAAGACACCGTGTCAGAAAAGCTTTAGAGGAAAGATATGTATGATCCTGAATCCTCTGCTTCTTGCAGTTTCCACTTTCTTTGGGCTATTGAAATAATCCTTCTGGAACTAGAATACCGTATCTTTGCAGATATGGATTGTAACAAAAGATACATGATCTAGGACATGGGACATTAAACTCTTACACATTCTATTTCTAGATAAAATAGAAAACCTCCAATGGTCTTCTGTCTCGGTTGAGGCTGGAAAGCTATAGTCTTGCATCCTGTATCCAGAGCATGAAGGTCCTGGTAGCTCAGCTCAAACCCAAATGAAGATACTCTGTATTATGGCAAAGACTATAACACATCCCTGAGGGTAACTAGGCTCAGGAAGTGCCCCCATGGGAAGCAAGCAAGGATCAGAAAACTAGAAAACTCCAGAAACTATGGTGAGATGAGAGGAACTGGGAAGGAAAGCCTGCCTGTTGTCTACACAGTGATTTTCCAAGACATCAGGAGTGAACCACTCTTTCCTTAGTACATCCAGCTTTCTCTGTAGCTCTCACTGGTAAGTCATGGCTCGTGACACAGATGTTGTACGGACCAAGAGGAGGGGGAACACAGATTCCTCACCGAGATCAAAGCCACAGCTTCTGCAGCTGTGTAGGCATCACCCAGGGTGCTTGGGCAAATGATATGGTGTTCACCAAACATCTCCTTAAGAAGTATGTTTATTTCAAAAGAATTGTCTATTTCTCAACCTTGCACATCCCCTTTAAACTGCAAGGAATTTGGGGCTCTAGAAAGTAATTTTGAGCAGACAGTAGGTTTTACAGGGGTGAAACAGTTTCTCCCAAAGTCCTCCCCTGGTGACACTTTACCAGTGCCCTGGCTGGGCCATGCAGAGCTCTGGGCTCCCTAGTATCCCATCTTCTTGCTTTAAGAACTTTTATAAAATGTTCCTTGCCTTTCTTCCTAATTTCATTCTTTCATAGGTTTGGGGACTTTCCCATAAGAAGAAATATAATCTGATAAGTCACCAAACTATCACAATGAATTAACTCACGGGGTGAACCCTCCTAGGTATGCTTTCATTTTTAAAAGCCACTGCCGGGAAAAAGAAACTCAAGAAGAACTCAAAACCATCACATTGCATGCCAGTCTAAAGTTTTATAATTCTGCAGGTATGTATTTTACACTGGGATTTTCAATCCTGGTGGCCACGGAGTGCAGGAACCCCTGGCACCTAAGGATAACTTTACAGGCGGAATCTATGTTTACAATCTATTTTTACATGTTGGTGAAGCCGTCAGCAGTTCAAAGTCCTTGACATGAATTATTCACTAGTTCAATATTCACTCTTATTCATTTGTCTACAATCATAAAATATGGTTCGGGTGTATAGAAAACAGTTACTGAGAAATAAGTAGGAAATCCATCACACCCTCTTAGTGGAGAGAACTGTGATGATGGCTTTCATCGAAACCAATCTTAAAAGATCTATATCACCTTCCCAGTGAAAAATGCTCTTCACTACAGGAGTGAATCTCTCTAAGAAACAAAACACACATACACTTAAAGTGGCGAGGTGACAGCAGTAGTAATTAGTCGATGAATCGCAATATGGGGAAGATAGTGGAGCTCAGAGGACCGGTCACAGGTCCACCATCCACCATTTACCAAATAATCTTGGACAAGTCGCTGCACCTCCCTGGGTCACAGGCCTCCCTCCATTAAATAATGGGGAGCAACTCGATGATCTCTAAAGTCCTGCCTGGAATTTTAAATTCTATGAACCATTATTTTCTAATTCTGTGATTCTATAACAAAATAATTTCCAATGAACAGTCAATATTTGTAGGTTAGAATAAACTGCATCCTGACTAAATAAATAATTCACTTCCTCTGGGCAAAGTTAATCAACTTGCAATATGGAATTTTGTCAGTCATCAGTTATCCATGTTTGGATGGACAAAATAGCATAATAATATAAACTAAAGAGATGACAGCTTCTAGTTAACAATTCATCCTGAGGTATTACTATAATCTACTATGATCAGATTGTCGGCATAACTAGTTTGACTAACTGATGTTTTTTGTTCTAAATCATTCTTTTTTAATTAGTGATAATTACTCTTTTATTTTACTTTGTTTTAAATAAAAGTGTATCTTTCTTGCTCAAACTAACTAGTCAGCAGGCCCTCTAAGGAAAGCTTGAACAAAAACAAAAAAGATAAAAAAGATAACAGACAAATTTCTAAAGCATTCAAAACAGGACAAATGAATGGCACTGGATTTGGAAAGTATGCTTTGTAAGGTATAATAGAGGATTGATTAGCTTAGAGCTGTGGATCCTCAGACCAGCAATATCTGCATCACCCGGGGAACTTGCTAGAAATGGAAATTCTCAGGCCCACCTAATCCGAAGCTCAGATGGTGGGGGCCAGAAATAGGTGTTTTACAAGCCCTCCACAGGCTTGAAGTCTGAAGCTGGGTAAATAATAATTGTTTTCAAAGAAGTCGAGTTTATAATTTTCAGGTTTTTATTTTTTTTTTTAACAGGCCCATACATGGCCTGCTTTTAAAATACAATGAACACTCTTGGCACCACCATGCCATCACCCCCTCCAGCCCAAGAAGCTAGGACGTTAACCATCACTCCTACCTACCTCTGCACACCTCTCCCAGCACGTCCTGATGTCTCCCTCTCAGAGACAACCACCATGCTGAATTATCTTATTTCCTCTTCCCTTCCCCCTTTAATTTTATACATAAGTTATATTAAATTTTAGTAAGATTCATCCTTATGGATGGCATGGAGATAGATTTCATTCGTCACCACTACCGTATAATATAGTACGTGAGCACACCATAATTTATTTATGCTTTCTCTTATCAATGAGCATTTGGGTTATTTCAGTCTCTTGCTATTACAAAAGATGTTCCTGTGAACACTCTTATACAGACCTCCCGGGACATCTATGTGAAATGTCCCACCTATAGGAGTTAAAGTGCTAATCAGACAGAATTTAGATGTTCAAATTTAGAAGATAGCTAAAATGATTTTCCAAAATGGGGTTAATGAGTTTCATATCCATAAGCAAGATAAAAAGAGATCTCCAATGTTTGGTATTTTTAAGATTTCTTAAATTTGGCAACTGAGTGATACACTATAGCATCTCATGACTTCTAGGGCCCTTTTCCCCTGTTTTAACATACCCTCTGATCCCCTAGGATCTGATTCCAAAGGGCTGTGGAGTCCAAGAAGCTGCTTTTCTGAGCAGCTCCTGACAATGCTGCCCCTGTTGGTGCTCCTTGAGCATCACCTGCTAGAAGGCCTGAGAGGAGCAGGTTTCTGAGCCAGCTTCTAGATGGCTTCTGGCTGTCTAGCTCCACCCCTGGGCAAGTGCGATACTTAGCACAGCCAAGCAGCCTCCAGACCAGGCTGCCAATGTGTGCTACTCCCATCTTGATATCAGCACATTTCATTTTGACCATTTTCTGACTTCTCTATTTGGTTACATCCAGGGGAACATACTCACGTCCAGAGCACCATGAGAATGTCCACAATGGCTCCTTTTCACACATCCTTCTAAAGGGAGTGGTACTATATCCCACACTTTCCATCACACGGGAATAAAGTTATTTTCCCATAAAATGTCTTCAAGAGAATGTACCTCCCATTCCCCCCACATCTCAGCCTTATTGCAAATGTGCTGTGTAACAGCTGCTGCCACTTCCCTGGAATGAGGCTCCCGGGGGCAATCGATTCATCCTCTGCTCTGCCCTGAAAAATCCCCAGGTGGGTAAAAAGATACTTACTGGGAAAGAGAAGCTGCTGCTCCCTTATCACCCAGAGAACACGAGTCTCTGGTGTAAAAGAGGGACTCAGCCTCATTAAACTCACAGATCTCCAATTAACCCTTGAGGCTCTTGAAGCTGGAGTGTCTCACTTGAAAGCAGGCGATCTGCCTGCCCTGGAGCCTGGCTCAGGCGATAGATGAGTTTCTGAAGTTGGCCACAAATCAAAAGTTGTGGGTTTTTTTTTAAATTAAAGCATATTTTAAATACGCTACAGAAGTTACTATTGAAATGAATTTAGAACAAATTCTTTTGTAAAATAATCACTCATTTTTCTTGAGACCAGATCTAGATTTTCAAATACTGAATTTATATCACATAAGGCACAAGTTTAATTTGAAGAAAGGAACTAGCTAAAACAGAACCTCTCCTGTGGATCTAGAATTAAAAACAAGCCCACATTAGTGAGAAGAATGACTGCCTTGTTTGGCTTTCCAGGAGTAAGAGGCTCTTGGCTTCGACTTGCAGTCTAATTCCCTGGTAAATATCTCCCCGTGCTTTGTGAATATCAATTCTTAATCAGTGAGATGTGTCACACATCTCTAGTAAATTGCTCATCTGGTCCTAGTCCATGTCATCTGGCACACATTTATCATAGGGCCTATTAACCAAATTTTCCCCTTTACTCATTCAAAGGATACTGTCCAAGATTAATTTAGTGAGAGCCTGGTATGCCGACAAATCACACATTTCAGAAATTTGGTTGCAGGAAAAATCCACCTTCTGATGAGAAAAGAGAACATACGTTATACTTTATTCCTCACTCATCTTAACCACTGGAATTAATTTCACAAGAAGAATATGGAGTGGATGTGGGGTTAGAATTCAGTGTTGGAAAAACACTGAGAATATTTACCCAGATTTAGTCATTTTCATCTGGGATTCTTGTCTGGCCCCTCCCTGTGGCCACACCAAGACCCCACAGTCTGTCCTCAGGCTCTGCGGCTACTCTCTCCAGTGCAGAGTTTATATTAAATTTTCTCAAGATCCCCTCTGAATTTACCTCAGTTTCAACCATATTTACCATGATTTCTGTCATGCCTAGCAACGCACCCATGCCTGCAACAATGAACTTGTAATGATCTGGGCTGATGTCCAGCATGGACACCTTCATGCCCTCTTGTGCCACAGCACATGGCCCGTCACCTGGCTACCCAGCTGCACCCCCTGGAGGGTGCATGCCCACAATGCTCTCTCCAAGCCCCTGTCACACAGGCTTGTTGAGCTGTTGCTCTGACTCCCTTTGGGAGTTCTGTTGGAGCCCAGAGCTTGCAAGAAGATCCCACCAACCTTCTTCACCTACTCCAAGCAAAGCATCCTAGGAAACACAGAAAGAGCGCCCGGACAAGCGTCTGCTCCCTGGGAATGGTGCTGTGTTTGGCACAAGGCTCGCAGATGGTAAATGAAAAGGAAGCAGATTTTCTCAGGAGGGGTGGGGGAAATAGCCACAACCTGGTTTACGAGGAAGATGTGGCTGCAGGTCTCAGATGTGGGTCCTGTCCCACCTCTTGGGTTCTTACTCCACCTCTCTGTGCGTCGGCCGCATCATCTGTAAAGTGAGAGGGTAGCCTCTGCCTCTCTATCAGGAGGATTAAATGAGCTAATGCCTCCAGCATCTCCTCCCAGGTTCATGCAGAATTCATAGGGGTCAAGGCACATCCTCGCAGGGAGCCTGGCCCTTTGCAAGCATTTCTCCAATGTTCCTGATGTATTTGCTCTTAATTCTCGGGGAACCTCAAAGTTGGGCTCTCTGCCATGATGATGGACACAGGCCGTTAACATTTGTCTCAGACCACAGAATGGACGACACCTCGAGGGACCGGTATAAACTGTGGACTGGGTGGTGTTGACGTGCTGACGCAGGCTCAGCAGCTGGAACAAACGGACCACTCCAGAGGGGGCTGCTGACAATGGGGGGTGTGCGTGTGTGGGGAGAGGGACATGGAAATCTGCACCTTTGCCTCAATTTTTCAATGAATCTAAAACTGCTCTTAAAAACGGTGGGTATCTGTTGTATTTTGTTCAGGGCGGAGTCTTTGGGGGACAGTATGAGGTAAGGGTGAGAACAGAAGAAACTGCAGGCAAGCTTTCCCATGGAGGGGAAATGCTGTTACCAGGACCAGCTCCCTGGGTGTGGGGCAAAGCAGCACGGAGCAGCAGAGCAGAGGGAGTGGGAAGCACCCAAGTGGCTCTGCGAGGGCAATGCCTGAGGACCTGGAGGGCATGTGGCCCCCACTGAGGGCACCGAGAAGCTCCCGTGGCTTATGTGGACAAAGGCATAGTGACCTGATATTAACTAAAATTCCAAAGGGCAAAAAAGGTACTGGTGATAAAAATGGAATGATGTGAATTAACACACACAAAAATAACCGAAGAAAATGAACAGAGAAAAATACAGCCTCTCACTAGCTCTATGGGGGCTGTCAGGCTCTTGATTCCTGCAGAATTTCACAATGTGCGAGCTGCTGCAGCATGCTTTGGATGCAAGATACTTTGGTTTCGAAATAAAGTAAAAGTAATAGATGATAAAAAGTAATCGGTGATAGCCAGTCCTAAAAGTAACTTTCTTTCTTTTTTTTTTTTTAATTAATAAATTTTATTTTTATATTCCCCATACAATTCTAATGAAATAGTTGAGTCCAATACAGGAACACTAAGCCCAAACTCTGTGGCGATGGTTCTCAAATTTGTCAGCATATTAGAGGCCCCTGGGGGGATCTTTTTAAAAATTCCAAGCCTAGGCCTCACCCTGGACCACTTGAAGCAGACTTTTTGACCATGGCTTCGGGAGTTTATAAAACTCCCAGGTGATGCCAATGTGCAGGAAAGGGGGAGCCACTCCCCCCACACCCATCTGCTATAGTGTGGGCCATGTGCCAACCACCATGACACGGCCTGGAGGGGTGTTTGAGATCAGTCCCAGGCCCACCCCCCAACGGACTGGGTCAGGATCTCACTTTCACAGGAACCTCCCCAGGCGGCCTGTGCAAACATCGGGGCAAGACACAGCATTGCCAGGAGCTCTAGCAACCAGCGGAGCTCATTTCTGCCTCAGAGATGCAATAGCAAGTGCAGGAAAGCAAGAATGATGGTTCCAAATCATTGCTATCTTAAAAAGTAAAGCTTGACTAAACAACAACAACCACCACCACCACCACCACCACAACAAACCCGAGGGCATTTTTATAGTCTTCAAAGTTTTTCTCTTATAATAAAAGCAGACAAATAATTAGTATTTAAACGAAGGAGAGAGAACAGAAAGGAGTTAGTCGTAAAACAAAACTTCCTAGGAAAGATTATCTGTTGACAGAGTATCTCTTTTCCAAAATAAATGGTACACTAATCCCTCTCCTTTTTCACTTCATCTCAGATACTTACACTATTGAGCCCTACAAATTACTCTCTCTGAATTCTCTATTTTAGTGTCATTTTGTTTATTAATGAACTTTGCAAGGCAATTAACATATTAATGTATTGAAAAGTATACCTTGAGATTTTTGGGTGGCTTGAAATTGAAGAATGTAGTCAGTTTATTGTGCGAAGCATTAAGTTCCAGGAGATAAGGCATACAACTGACACAAGACAAATCTGGGGGGAAATAAACACAGAATACGGTAAGCCAATAAAACAGAAATTAGCCAACTCATCAGAACAGCACACATTACATCAGAACATTTTTAAATTATCTCAGTGGCAAGCACATTTTTATTCCAGATGAATGAAATGAATAAAACAGGAGTATGCAAAATACACACACACGCGCACAAACACACATGTAGTATGGAAAACTCTCCATGAGTCAATAATTTAAGCTTCTTCCTTGGGGCATCCCCAGTTTTTCCACCCACCTCCTCCCACCCAAGTGACAGATGACCAAGGCCACCGCAGTGGCCCAGCTCTCTCTCCCACGAGCTGCTAACAGCTCAGTGCTTCAAAACCTGCCAGCCTTGGGGGAAAGAAGAAACTGAAGCCTTAGATAATCCTCTTGATCATTAGCCTCTAAATAACTGAATTAGGTCCTTTCAGAGAGACTGAAAATGCCATAATTAGAAAACTTTCCTTGATATCAATTAAATTTTGTTTTAGTTGGACTTAATCCTAAATCTCATTATTTGCAGTGATTTAAATTATTGCCATTATTTTACTTTGGCTCTGGATTGGCTGAAAGTATGCCTGAGCTTTGCAGTTTATCCCAAGCAAATATTCGAAACTTCGAGTACTAAGTAGAGGACTGTCTTGATCCTACTGCTAACGAAATGGCACATAAAAGATAAAAACAGTGAAGCATTGTGCTGCTTTCTCTGCTACTCTATCCACAGATGAATCCGGGGAGGCTCAGGAAGAATCACATGAGGAGCATTTACAGCCCTTCTCTACCAGTAACTTGTTCTTCTACCTGCAAACAGTAGTAACAACGTCTCCTTCTCTATTCATTCTAGATCACAGAACCAGCCATTCCAGCTGCTCAGGGGATAGGGCTTGCTGGGAGAATGGGGAGAAGCAAAGTGCTTCTACCTTTCCCAGGTGGCCAAGGCCCATCCCCGTGAGTGGAAGGAATTGAGGCCTTGTCAGGAGTGGGTGGTGGTGTGAGGGTCCTCCGCCACGCAGCCCCTCTCAACATCTTTCCTTCTCAAAAGTCACTGAAGCCAGAAGGTCCCCAGCAGTTTCCACTTCATTTTCTGAACCACCCTTTCTTTAGTCTGTCTTTCTCACACAAAATTGTCCTAGGGGGAGACAAGACATTGAAACATTAACACTTTGGTGGAAATTAGGGAGCAAATCAAGGAAGTCTGCCTGAAAGAGGAAAGCTAAGGAGGAACTGTCATTGCTTTATGAGATTTTTCCCTTTGTCCACTCTGCCCTCAGCTCCTCGGCTGTCAGTGGTGACCTCAACACCATTCACCTCTCCCCACCCGTGACCCCTCTGGCGTTGACCTTAGACAGCTACATATTGTACCAAGAACTCTGTCTTAAAGAAGAATCAGCAGCTGCCATTTAGATAGAGCTAAAGAGATGATGAGTACATGTCTCGCTCCGTAGATGGCCTGTGCTTTCCAATCTCTGACTAGAAAATCACCGTTTGGGTTGCTGGGCTGCTTCTGACTCTGGCAGGCCCAGTATTCCCTACCCGGTGTAGTGACCTCCGTGACCACCAGATGGCAGGAGCACCTCGTGCCTATAACTGTGCTGCTCACTGTGGTCCTGGCACCAGTCTCATCCCGAAACTAATTCAAAACACAAATTCTCAAGACCCATCCCAGATCAGTGGCATCAGAACCTCGGAGGGTGGGGCAGAACCGTCTGAACAGGCACTCCAGATGATTCTGATGCAAACTGAAATCTGGTCTGCATCACAACTTTTAACAAAACTGCTCTTGCAAAAAGAAGAATACCCTGTGTCTTACACATAGTAGGTCCCCAAGCACTTAAGGAGTGAATAAAATGGGCTGTGAAGGATTAAAGAAGACTTGTCAGAGAGCTTCCATGGCAGCTATGGACTGCCCATTCAAGTAGCAGGATAGGTACCCACATTTTTCCTTCCAGGTGAGCCTAGGCAGAGTCGAAGCCTGCCTCCCCCCAATGCTGGTCTACAGTTCCTATCCAGAAATTTTACACAACTTTCAAGGTGTGGCCAGCCAGGAGAGCTCCTGCTAGGGACACTGAAAGTAGTTTCTATCACGTGATAGGACCTCTGGGGTTTGCCTTAAAACCGCCCTGGGGAAGGAGGCCACGGTACAGGTGAGACAGGATGGGCCTCGGGGCTGAAGACTGTAGCGCCTGAGAATGCATCAGCCTCTCATTATGTGCTCATGTGTGTAATTTACCAAAATTAAGTTTTATGAAACTAGGGGAATAAAGGGCTTTCCAAAGCAGGACCAATTTCAATAATGATAATATGCTAGGCTATTTCTTAATATTCATATTAATATTCTTAATATTCATTTAAGGATGGGGGATCAGAGAATGAGCCAGAGAAGAACATAAGGGCAACACAGGAGTAGAAAGATTATCAGTGAAGAAAGCAGGTCAAAAATAAAGATTTGCCATTTTCCTGGAGGTCTTAAAAAAAAAAATTCAATTCAAATAAGATCAGGAAATTAGAAATAATTTCCTGGAGAAAATATGACTCATTTCATTCATTGTGAGCAAGGTGTCACAATAAATGTAATATTGTAGAACCACAAACAGTGGTTAGAGTAGAAAGAATCAACTGATGTATAGAAAGAGCAAATAGAGGGGGGAAATTAATCTGTGAATCCCTGGTGCTTAAACAAAAAGAACAAAAGCCAGGATTAAAATGTAGATGTAACGGCAAAATAAAAGAATCCATTAAGGGGGTGGGGATGGTTGGCAGAAGGACTAATTCATTTGCATTGACTTTACTAATTGAGGGAAGAAAAGGGAATCATCAAATATGCAGAAAATATCAAGATGTTATGCTCCATCTCTTAAACGGAAAAACACAAACACCCCTAGTGCGTCTGACCACAGCCTGACACTGCATGCTCCCTGACTGGTGCCTTTTTCTATCCTCATCTGTCACCGGTACCTATTTTGTACCAGCGAGCAGAGATCAATATGTAAACTGATCTAATATAGCACTTGTATCAAGTTTCGTAGTGATACACTGTTACATCCTAACAAACTTAAATCTTGAAATAACTCAGGGATTCATTGGTTTACTAGAATAACTATTACATACCTTCAATTCTATTTACTGAGAGATCCAACTTCTGTAGGTGAACATATCCAGAGAGTATGCTAATGTCAGTTAAATCACAACCCTGAGAAGATAAAAAGGGAAAAGACTTGAATGTTGCTTTATGGGGTTTGTACCCAGCCTTCTTGCAACATCTGGAAATAGTAGTTGACAGAAAGAAACCCAGAATTTCTGTCAAAAGTAGAAAGGAGGGGCCTCCCTGGTGGCACAAAGGGTTAAGCACCGCACTATGAAGCAATCTGCAACCTCTGCAGCATGCACGAGTTCCGATCCCCGGCCAGGGAGAAACCCACACGGCACAGCAGACCTCTCCTGTCTCGCACACTGCTCCCCTCAGCAGTGTGTTTTTCAGTCAGTCTGCCTGTTCTGTTCCCCCCTCTGCCTTTGGTGAATCCTCTCACCCCCTGCCTCTCTGGCCTGTGTCCCAGCTCTTGTATGCATAGATAAATAAATCTTTACCAAAAAAGGAGGGTGGAAGGGAAAACCTGCTGCCTCTGAAGGATCTGAAGCCCACTACTAGGAGGTTCTTGAAACAGACTACTAACCCTATCAAGAAACCATGGCTCCCCATAAAATCAGAACTTAGCGAATCAGTGTTGTTAGCGAGAAGGAAAACAACACAAAAAGGAGAATTAAGTATTTACCAAGACCTCTAGAGCAGCTTTATATTAAAAAAAATAATCTCAGCAATACAGCCAAAGTCTCTGTGTGGTAGAAGAAAAAAAGCAAATGCCTAGAAATGAATTGAAATGAAATGAAACGCTGGGGCTCACCCCCACACAGGGGTCATCAACAGCAGTGCCAACCACAGCTGAACAGGGTCCCTGTCAAGCTACTTAAACAATCACCACAGTGGATCCAACAAACCTGTGAGACATGCTGTCTCCAATCGGGCAGGCTATTCCCAGGGTAGAGAGGAGCATGAGGAACAGAGAGATATAAGCACCTAAGATTACAGTAGGAAGTTAGCGATGAGAAGCAGATACCAGTCTCTTGAATCCTTGTCCAAAGTGCTATGAATCTTGCTTCCCATGAATTCGAGCTGGACTGGGGGTCAGTGTGGGCAGGGAAGAGGGGATGGGGGAGAGGTATTTTTGGTTCCTTGGCTCAAAGACTCATTTGACTAGTTTATGTTGCAATGTCAAAGCCAGAGGAAGCACCAACCAATGAAGTGTCACTATAAGCAATGCTCAAATGTGACAATGATAAGAGTGTTTGGTGAAGACCACGAGGGCAATCATAAATACGTACTTGAAAACCTGTCATGGACAAAGCACTGTGCATGGCTTGGGGAAAACAACAGAGATGGAATAGAGCTTCCTTGTGCCCTTAAGAAACTGATGACTTTGTTAGCAGAGGAGCTATGTATACAAAACACAAGTAAAAATAATAATAATAATAATAATAATAATAATAATAATAATTTTGAAGATATAAGCGGGGGGAATCACCAAACCAGGCAAAACTAAGAAAGTATTTTCAGTCAGCCAGGCAGGTTATTAAGATGAAATAATTCAACACGTAATATCTCAAATGTAAGGAGGTCGGTGGAAAGTAAGTTAAGCTTCAGTCCATCTAGCCGAAATAAGACTTAAAGGATTGCTTTTCTTTCTTTCTTTCTTTCTGCAGATCAATTGAAGGCATAGCACTACATACACAAGTAGAATATTGATTGAGAGGGACTTATGTGGAGCACAGAAGCTGCTGGAATTATCGATCATTCCAATACCTAACAGTGCAAGGCACACCGGAGCCTCCCTGTGTGTTATTACCTGACTGGCTGAGGCAACCACAAACTGGTATAAAGTGAAAATAGTGAAAGATTAGAGCCTTAATATGTGACCTCAGAGGACACGCTGTGGAAGCAGCATGGGGGAAAAGAGCAGAACCTTCCTTGGTTAGTTTACCAGCTCAATTCCATGACGGAGCAGCCTTGCTATGAATGCTATGCTTTAGCTAAATTATGGTGCTCCAGCAAAATTTCAGTGTTTTTTTTTTAGCCTGTGTTTGCATTTACTCTGTAGATTTCAAAGGAATGTTTAATGCTTTATAATATAAGCATATGCTTATATATGTATGTGTGTGTGTGTGTGTGTATATATATAAGCAAAAAGAGTTAAATTATTTTTCTAGGACTAGAGAAACAAAAGGAGAAACCGAAATATTCTTGAGTACTCTGCACTTGTAGATTCTTTTATGATAAAATTGAAGCCATGACTCTCCACTAGTATCAACATCTTGAAAACTGTTGAATAATAATATATTTTTTTCTTTAATCACTGGTAGTTTTTGGAAAGTGAGCAAAGGCTTAAAGTTACTTATTTCTTGACATGCTTAGAGGAGAAAAAAGTCAATACCAAAGCACTTTGCTCCCTTAGATTCAGACATAAATTTTAGTCCTGCCTCTGATCATAGAGAAAATTCTTTAAGAGATTTGATTGGTTTTATAGAATCAAAGTCAACCTTCTGAAAGCAGTGAGTAGTATAATATAGACTACTTAAGAGGAAAGATATAGACTGTGCAGGGAAAACAAAAGAAGGGAATTTGGGGGTTTGGTTACTGGGCTGACTAGGATCTTTGATGTCGAACATTTACATAAACAACTCTGATTGTGAGTCTCCATCAAATGCATGAACATGGGATTTGGCGCCACCACCGAAGCTGTGAATATGGGGGAGATGGCCATGGTGCAGGCAGTCGGTGGTGATCTTGTCATACTCACTGGTAAACTTAGATTGAGGTAGACCTGCTCAGTCCCAGAGCCGGAGCGTCCCAACTGGTGGAGCGCCTTGGCCACCTCCTCCTCTCTGAGGATGCCATCAAGATTCTCCTGCAAAAAATAAGTAAAATAGGGGGGTGGGGGAGAGAAAGGACTTCCATTAGAAAAGAAACAGTCTACTTCCTCATATTCAGCACTTGTTTTTTATCTATTTCCCATCCAGGAGCTGAGTTTTTCAACACGGATCAGCACAAAGAAAATTCTGTGTTGAGAACACGTAGTTGTTAGGTACAATCAAATCCCTATCAACTCCATGTTATTGCCACTGAATTTGGGGGTATGCAAAGTGGAATGAAAGTGGTTATTGTGGAAGCTTCAGCACTGGTGTGACAGCTCATGGCATGAGTGTTTTCTGTTCCAGCGCTATGCTAAGAGCTCTAGATAGATCGATTCATTTAATCCTCCTGACAACCTAAGGTCGGCACTCTGAGCTCCATTTTGCAGATAAAGAAATGAAGGCTTACAGAGGTTAAGTTGCTGGAAACCATATGGCCAGTTTGTGGGAGAATCCCAATCTGTCTGACTCTAGGGCAATTCTAACCACTATACTTGATGGGTGAAATTAATGCAATCTCTTCTCTAAACCTGGCATTCTTGTGGAGAAAACAGGTCCCCAGTTGGCTTCCTGTTGGCTAATTTCACTGTATTCACACAATTTACAAGATTTATTAAAAGGGTAACACTTGCACTAGGAGTTTGGCCCTCTGTCTGCAGACCTTTGTGGGCCAGAGGTTGGCCAGCATGCCATCTCCCCAGTGATGACAGACAGAAGAGAAAACAAGTGAGTCACTGCTATGTTTGTGCTGCCTTCACCTCCGCATATAGACTCTGACAGCAAAGTACCCTTTTCCATGAGGTTCCAGCAAGGCTGCTCAGACTGCTCGCACCTAGGACATGGGTCTTTAGGCTTGTGATACTGTGAACAGTTTCATTCCCCCCAGATTCCCACTAAATCTGGGAAGAAAATGCCACTCACATGGAGCTAGCACATGCATTTTGGGGCTGAGAAGGTTTGGTTGAATCCCAGATCTGCCATTTTGGACGTATGACTTTGGGGAGATAAAGTTTTCTCATAGTCTTCATGTATAAATAGGAAATATCATTACCTTCTCTTAATGTTTTGGGGGAATGGAAAAAAATAAGAGTATATAAAGCTAGTTCTCAGTATTGTGCTTAGAAGCCAGGAAATGTTCCCAGCAAATGGTACTGTTACTACTAATTGATGAAATCAGAAATTTCACGTCCACGTGTTTCATCAGTCCATACAAATCTAACTGTTCACAAAACGGGGGAAAGATCTAATTCCTCAAGGGCCTCCCCGGTGGCGCAGCGGTTGAGCGCTGGGTTGCGAAACTGCGCGCGGCCTCTGCGGCACCGGTTCAATCCCCGGCTGCTCCCCGGCCACCGGAGGAGGGTCCCACATGGCGTGCAGACCTCTCCTGCCGCCTGCTGCTCCCCTCAGCAGTGTACTTCGGTCCTTCTGCCTGCTCTGCTCCCCGCTCTGGCTCTGGTGAATTCTCTCACCCTCCTGCGCTTCTGACTGTGCCCAGTGCATGTATAAACAAAACAAACAAACAAACCAGCAAACAAATAAATAAAGCATGCCTCTATAAAAAAAAAAAAAAAAAAAAAAGAAAAAAAAAAAAGATCTAATTCCTCAAATAAAGGTTCATTTTCTTACCTCAGACCTGGAAAGGAATAGAGGCATGAAAGTGCTACCTTGCTTTTGCAAACACTCCACTTAAAATTTCTGAAGTTTACTTGAAAAACCCCCCACCCCATTTCCTGGAGATGACAAGACATTACATTCCTTACAAAGAGCAGGTGGGAGTCTTTTGCAACGGAGCCCTTGCTGTGAAAACCAGTGATGCTGTCAGCACCTTCCCTGATCTCGAGCATGACTCCCCTCCCCACCCCCTCACACTTCCTTCATGGTTTCCATCGTCATTATCACACCTTTCCCTCCCGCTCGTTGGTCATTTTCAGACTTTCACAAGTCCTATCTTGACCTCATGGCTCCAGAATCCCTAAAGATGCCCATGCCACATCTCCACCACTCCAAGCACATGCACCCAGCACATTCCTTTACTTTCTCAACTCCAGACACCTTAAAAGTGATCTCATCCAACATAGCCACTCACTCCCATCGCCATGGTGGACTTAGTCATCATGCTAAACTGCTCTACCCTAAGGCCCTCAAACCCCACTTACTGCACTCTCTGATGATGGAAACCATGAAGGAAACTCTCCAACCTTTCTAGACCTACTGAACTTATTCCTTGATTAAAGCAAAATTCCTACTCTAGTCATCCTCCCCTTTCTCGTGGCCCATCTGCCACTTCCTCACTATATTTCCTTCCCCACTGGGTGTTCTACATACAATTTCAATGTCTCTCCAGCCACTAGCCTCTGGCTCTTTGTCCCCTGATCACAGCAAAAAGACCCAAAAGTGAATCAAGTTCACAAATCACCTACTGCACTGAGGCAGAGATCGTCATGTCCATCATATATTTGGGATAAAAATCTTTCCAGTATATCCAACACATACCAGCCAGGACACTAGACCCTGTTGATAAATTTATAAATAAGACATTAGCTATCCTCACGGGACTTGCAGTTCAGTCTGGGAGAAAAATACACAAGCCATTTCAGGAGTTTGATGAATACCGCAACAGAGATAACAGGGTGCTTTGACCAGAGGGAAGGACATCCCTTTTATGCCAGTGGGAAGCAGGTGGTTAGTAAAGGCTTTCAAGGGGAGAGGACCATTGAGTTGACCCAAAATTGTAATTTATGCAAATGGAGGGAGAAAGGAGAGAAAAGAGGATGAGGGAAGTTACTACAATCAAAAGGTACAACATATACAAAATCCCAAAGGCAAAGGAGGGGTGGCTCATTGGGGGAACTACAGAGAGTTCAGAACAGCTGGGCATCAAGTGGGAGGGGGTCTACAGTGCCAACCAGTCCCCACCCCCACTGCCCCCGAGCTGTTGAGTGGCCTGGGAGAGGCAACTCTAAGGTCAACTTTTAGCTGGGCCTGCTGTGGTCAGACACTCTCCCATTCTTCATCAGCTCCTCTCCACTCTTACTACCTTAGCTGGTCAGATCTCACTTTTCTCAAGTCTGGGCCTCCACTCTGTCTCCACTCTCAGCAAATGTCTGCCCTTCTACTTTGGGGCAAAGGTTGAAATGATCAGACGTCAAGCCCTCAACAGTCTATACCTGTCCTAGTCTTTCTTGCTTGGGTCCCAGACCAGAGGAAGACACTGCCCTTCCTTCTGTTTCCTCAGGGAACTTGCTCAGGAACCATCAGATTTGCCCTCTTTGGCCTGGATTTCTAGCTGTCATTCACCACTGCCATGCTCCACCCTGCCACTTCTCCAAATCCACAGGTCAGTCTCTTCAGACATCCAGAGTCGCTTTTCCATGCTTTGATCCCTCTTCCTCACTTCCCACTCACTCCTGCCTCACTTCAATTGGGCTTCTGATTTTCCCACATGACATGGCCAAGGCTGCGTGACGACCCTCAAATAGGAGGAGCTGAGGAGCCCTCTCCAAACCTTTCCTACTTGGCCTATTGGCAGCAAAACCCATTGTTGAGACTCTTCCTGCCTTGGCTTCCCTATCATACAGCTTTTCTTTTTTTCTATTTCTCTTACCAGTCCTTTCCAGTACCTTCCCTGACTTCTCTGTATCTGCCTGTAAATACTTGCACCCCAAGGGCTATCTTCTTGACCCTCCTTGTCTCCTCACTTCTTTTCCTGGGTGACTGTGCAGACACCGATGCTGATGACACCCACTCTCCAATATCTGCGATCCCCTCTTTTACTTCCAGAGTCATATAATTCAAATACCCATCCTAATGCTGGTGGTAGTTAATATCCCCTCAACCATGCCATAGACCAGCCATCATACTAGATTTTTAACATTTGATTAGGAATTGTCCTAGCTTAAATATTTAAAAATACCTTCATCTTTAGATTCCTTTCCATTCCCAGTTCCACTGCCTTAATCCAGACTCTCCCCCACAGATTACTGTTAGTCTCTGGCTGATCTCCTTGCCTCCAGAGTATCAGCCTCTAATCTAATTCCATTCGTCATCAGCGCTTAGAGACTTGAGTCAGCAGTCTCTATGATGGCACAGAGCCCTCCACAACCTGGCCCCTACCTCATCAGTAGAAAAAACTGCCATGAACCTGCCCACACACCAGTTCTCCACCCAGACAATGACCTACTTTCCTTGAAAACGCCATGATCCCTGCCTTTCATCTGTCATTTGTATACATGACTCTAATACTTCACATGTTGAATGGCTATGACTTACACATGTTCCTCTCTCACCTTGATTGCAGGGGCCATGCCTGTCCTCCAGCACATTCTCATATCCTATCCTTACTATTGCCATTGGGTATTACATCTGTAGTTTTTTGACAGCCACTCTGTATCAGACACCATACTAAGAACTTCAACATATTCAGAGCTTGACTATCTCAATATTAGGTATTACTACCCTTTAGGGAATTGACAGAATTAAGGAACGGGCAGAGTTCTGGGCTGCACGCATCAGACACTTGCCATGGGCCTGGATACTCGTGCTCGATACAGTCAGAGCACTTTGTGCCCAGCAATCATTCAACGAAGTTTGCTTAATAAAGCCTAAATTAATTAAGTCACTTAATGGGCTGCAGTTAGCAGATAAGATGCAAGTTATTACTATATTAGTAACAGTATAAATAATATAATATGCTAAGTATTTTACATATATGATTCATTTAATTCGCCGAACTCTCCTAGGAGAGAGGTATTATTATAATTCCCATATCACAAGTGAGCGTAGAGAAATTAAGTAACTTGCTCAAAATCTCACAATTAACAAATCTTTGATTCTAAAATCAATATTCAGAACAGCCAGTCTAAACTATGGCTCTTAAATTCATAAGAGCTTCCTAAGTCTGAGGCTAACTGCACCACAGGCATTTAATAATCATTGTGGCCATTGTAGTGTTATCTATTTTCCCCAAGCTAAGATATGAAACATAAGTCACTGAACATGAAAGTCCTAATGTTTTCTTTTAAAATTTTCAGCTTATTCAGCAATATTAACACTTATATAAAAGTGTAAATATCATAAAAAACTAAAATAACATGATTACTAATATTTAGAGAATAAATGGAAGAAATTAACTTTTTGCACACACATGCTACAAACCAAAAAGCTCAAGTCAAGCCCCTCTATGGCTTGCTAATGGCATACTGAAGACAGATTAACTATGGTACTAATGAACCCCATAGCCAAAGTGCAGGAGTTAATTAGAATAATAAAGTAAACTGTGATTCATTTGTGAATTCCTCTGGGGTGGAAGCTGGTAGAAACCATACAAACATCTCAAAGTTGTAAAAACACTGCTACAGTTTTGCAATAGTAACTGTTAAAGGTAGGAAAGTCAACAAAAGATGAACAAAATAAATAATTATTTCTTTCTGGTCCTCCTTAAGCAAAACTAGTGTGTATCGAGGGCCTCCCTGGTGGCACAGGGGGTTGAGCACAGCGCTGTGAAGCTGTCCACAGACTCTGCAGTGCCGGTTCCATCCCCGCAGACTACGGAGATACCCACATGGCACCACCCGCTGCTCCCCTGTCTCACCCGCTGCTCCCCTCAGCAGTGTATTTCAGTCAGTTTGCCTGTTCTGTTCCCTACTGTGTCTCTGGTGATCCTCTCACCCTCCTGCACATCTGGCCTGTACCCCAGTTCTTGTATAAATAAATGAATCTTAAAAAAAAAATAGTGTGTATTGAGCCCATGTAGAAGGAGACAGACAAGGAAAGATAAAATGGGGGTGAGGGTTGAAAAAAATGAGCCAAATGTTGAACATAAAACAAACATAAGGACATTACAAAAAAGGGGAATCCAAGTGGAAGAAGAGTGTGGTGGTTGTTGGTAGAGTGAGAGAAGTTATTGCAAATTATGGGGCGGGGGAGAATAAAAATTTAGACAAAATGGGCATATCGGAAACACTCTCTGTATTACAAACTTCAGAAAAAAATTTAAAACAATTTTCTACTACAAAGGAAGAGGAAAGGGGATTGAAAGTAAGAAGATATCTGATTGTGAGTTTCCTGGCAGCCAAGACCAAGAGGAAAACGTATTAATTGAAAGGAAGCTAATCGATTTAGTCTTTGAAAGAGAGCAAACTATAGACTAGAAAACTATATACAAGAAAACTATATACAAGCAAACTATATACAAGAAAACTATATACAAGCAAACTATATACAAGAAAAAGGAGTAAGTGATATGATAAGAAGTAAAAGGGACAAGATGAGAGGCAATGGGCTAAAAAAGGAACAGCATGACCCGGTTCTAAAAAAAAATGGGGCTGGATGGTAGTTTAAAAAGAGTGAGTCTATATAAACATGAAAGGCAAAGTTGTTACCAGCGGCCATTGCTGGTAACAGGAACTTTTCTCACATCCTAAAATACTCCCACCGTGAGCTGGTGTGTGTATTGCTTATATAATGCATTATACACCTCCGGCAGAAGTAAGACGATGAAACTTTCATGTTACTTAGGCTTTGAGGAATTACTTAAGTGATTATTTCAAGAGATTGTTTTCAAGAGGGTGGGGGGTGTGTGGGAATGTTAGAGCACTTCACACTCACTGGGGTGCCAAAGATGAACCCTGCCAATGCACAAGACTCTCAAGATAGAATTTTGAAAAAGTTAAAGCCGTAGCCACACAAATTAATTTTTTCCCCATGCTGTGACTTATCTCCTAAGAAACGAAAAGTGTTAATGAAAAATAAAGGAGATTTTGGAGCTTTTTCAAAAGGCAAAGGGTGAGAAAACGGGGGAACAGAAATGGCTGGGAGGAAAGGCGGGGAGCCCCAGAGCCTTTAAAGGGAGGATAGGGCTGAAGGAAAAGACTGAGCCCAGGCTGGGGGGGATGCACTGAAATGCCCCTGAAGGAGCAGGGTCCCATGGCTGCAGGAGGGAGCGAGGGGTGGGGAGAAAGGGAAAGGCGCACCTTCAGGTTCAGCATTTCGGACTTGGAGGAGAACTCGGATTCCGACTCGTTCTCGGGCTGGTACTCGCCCTCGTCGCCCCCGTCCTCGCCCTGCTCCTCGTATTCCTGCTCGTTTACACAGGTGTCTGGTTCCTGATAGCCCTGAATGAGCTGGTGAAGCAGGTAGGAGGCGGTTTTGCGGAGACAACCCTTCGATCTCTGCCCCGTGGGAACAGGCCATGACGGACGATCTTTTTCTGAGGGCAACAGTTTCAAATGGGATCCAGTTAGTGAACTGCCAAGCTCTCCCCAGACAGAGGCAGAGGAGGCCCTCTGGGGATCGCTCCCGGAGGCCGCCATCTTGTTTACTGGAGTTGCCGAGGAGACGGACTCGCAATGAGGAGGCGCCGCAAGGAATTCTGGGGGTTGTAGTCTCCATCCCTCTGTTGGCCCTAGCTTTCTGCTGCAAGGTCCCTGGAGCGTGACTTTTGCTTTCTTTGCTCTGCTTATTCTGTTATTTGTCTCTACAGTTTACTGACTTTGTTTCTTTTTTGCTAGTCTTTCTAGTTTTCAACTGTTTTCTCTACATCGTTTTTCCTTGTGTCCATTGTGTTTTTTTGTTTCTTTTTCTGTATTCAGGGCCCCTCTTAGACATTTTTCTTCCAACATTAAGATCATCTGCATGTTTCCCATCCTGCTTGGTTCACAAGGGCTCTTTTTTGCAGAGTGATACTTTGAAAGTGTTGTCTCAAATGCTCTCTGTTGGAAAGCCAATAACACTGAAATTTTACTCTATGCAGAGGGTGGTATTAGGGATGATGATGAAACAGGAAAGGCTTGAATGGAAAGGCATGGCTCCTGTCCTGATGATATAGTTGGGAATAATAAAAAGGAACTACCAGAAGACTGAGAGCTGATTTTCAATGAATTTATATTCCCCCTCCCCTCCATGAAATGATAAGCCATGTCCTTGGGGAGAAAAACTAGCAGTGGTCTAATAATCCAGAGAGAGAAAAAAAGGCTGTCAAGACACTATATCTGAAAGGCTCTGAAAAGCTATTAGCATCCCATAAATAACTGTACAGTCAAGTGACCTGCATTGGTAATTATTTTTATCTTGTTGCATATAAGTTCTCATTGCGGTTTTATGAAATGCTCTTGCAAGATTACAAAGCATGATTTTATGCTACTGTGATTTTATGTGACCCAAATCTCGTAGCCTTAAGCTGCACAAAGTAGAATAGAAAAGCAGAATGAAAATTATAGTAACTATTATTGCCATAGTGATGACAATAGAGATCCTTGCAGGGAAGTAGCCCTCATCATCCTGGCCTTACAGGGCCTTTTCTCCATGCTTCAGTGATAGCAATTGCAAATGCAAAATGATCCTGTCAATGACTGTCAGGGGAGAAGGAGAAAAAAATCCTTCTGGACACCATCCATTGACTATTATCTTTCTCAGTGCTTGAGGGACCGTTAAAACTGACATAAAGCTTTCAGAATTACCTTCCTTCATTATCTTGCTAGTCATAAATGTAAAGGCCACAATGAAAGTATTTTTTTCTGCTAGGCTCTTCTTGCTGTTTGCTTATTTCTTTTTCCAGTGGCTAGAGACCCTCTTGATTTCCCTCCACCCTCACTCCCTTAGGACCTGGCTGTTGCTAACTGACATAGGGAAGAAGTGGGCCCAAGAATGAAAATGAAAACTCAGCATGTTTGTGGTTGTTGTTGTTGTTGGTTTTTTTTTTTTTTTTAGTAGCTTAATCAGCATTTCTAGCAAAGCAGGTTTTGCCAGTGTCAATCTACTGAGAAGTCTATTAAGATATAGTTTGGTTCCTACTGATAGTTAACTTTCCGAAAGTTAAAAATATGATCATCATATCAAAATAAACAAACAAACAAAAAAAGAAACAGAATGAAACACATGTCAAAGGTTTTCTTCCATCCATTAGTGAATAGTCGGATGGTATGGGGTATTCAAGTTCCCAGAGAAAGACATCCTGAAACAAGTTCACTGAGTTAGAGATAAAACTGCTAATGCCCAACAGGACAATAAAACTGGAGCTTTTGGGATTGTAGATCTCTGTTTCATCTCTTTTCATCTTTATGTCTATACTCTCTCTCTGTCCCCATTCAACAGATTGGTATAACTGAGGTCCAGAGAAGTTAAACAACTAGTAGCCCAAAATCAAGTGGTGATGCTGAAATCCACACCCAGAATAACCAACTCCAATCTGCCTTCAACTTATTGCCTTTGCTGGTGGAAGATGTGAGGCAAGCTAATGCTGCATAAAGCCTCAGAAGAAGAAAATACATGTATCAGTTAAGATTCTTAAGTATTCAAGGTAAATAAAAATTCACTCAGAAAAGGAATGAAGCTTTCATAGAGAAACAGCGTGTCAGAACTAAAAAGAACTTAAATGTCTATCTTGTCCAAACTCTTTCTTTTGCAGAGGAAACTGATGATGCTCCAGGAACAACATGGGTGAAATCACCTGAGTTGTTAGCAGCTAAAGAGAAATTAGAGTCTAGAGCACTCATTGCTCTTGCTAGTTCACCAAAATGTTCCTTGGGCTGGAATTGCATGCCTAGAATTTCTTCTTGGGGATTCTGAACACCAAAATAAATAGTATTTTCTATTTTTCTGTCTATGAAAGTTGATTTTCCAGTAGAGAAGACAGAATCAAGCTGAGGGAAAGGGAGTGAGATGAGGAAACATGTTCTCTAAATTCTTCTTACTTAGTTCAAAACATCAATAGTATGAGTTGCTTCCATTTATTTGTTGCTTACTCTAACCGGCTCTGTGCTAAGCACTGTACATGTACCTCGGTTAATTATTCCAGCTGTTCTTTGAAATAAGAATTGATATTCCCATTTTATAAAAGAAAAGAATGGTGCTCAGAAAAGCTAAGCAAGTTACCCAGTTATAGCTTGTGCCCAAAGCGAAACTCCAAACTCAGGTCATTCTGGATCCAAAGCCCCTGATCTCAATCATTAACATTTCACTTTCCCCAGTAATATGGGATCATTTCTCAGGAAGTAACTGTGAGGCACAGAGAGCCTGATCCTGGTGGGATACTGAAAATGCTGCATGTGTGTATTGGAAACTGGCAGGAAGACCCCATGTTTCTTGAGCTGGGGTGGGTAGAGTGGGCAAAGGCAGCAGGAAGGAGAAAAGGGAAGCGTGTCACCATGATACTCTGGAGTACACGTCTCCTGAGGGGACGCCCAAGATAGGCGGGGGAGGAGAAGTTCCAAGGCGTCAAGAGCTATTGTTTGAAAGAGGGTGGTAACCCCCAGCTTCAGCTGCTTGCTAGCTTTGCCTCCACAGCATTATTTACCCATATTCCCAACTTTTCTGTGTGGAACAGGTGTCCCACTCAGGAGCCAATATCTTATCTCATTGACTATGGAAAGAACCAGAAGGGATGATCCCAGTTTTCTGTGTTTGGAAAGAGTGTTTTCCCAGGAGTGTGGACCTTGAGTAAAGTGAAAATGTGTGCCCCTATCCCTTCCCTGAACCTGCAGCTTCTTCCCAATTTCTGTGTAAGGAAAAACAAGTCTCACACATTGCTATGACAGTACCTTGAACTCATGGTATTTTTTATGAAATAGTACATTTTTTAAGACTGTCATGAGATGGGGAGAGCAGATAGGCCAGACAAGGCACCCTCGATATAAGAAAAACAAGCAAACAAACTACACAACCACAACTGATGTTGTGTAATTGTGTGTTGGCACCTTCCTAAGTGCTGTGCATATATTTATTCATTTTATCCCTTCAGGGACCTTACAAACTAAAGGCTGATCTCATTATGCCCATATTGTTGGTGAGGGTAGGCCTGAGGGCCAAGGTGACCCACTCACACAAAGACACACAAGAACACAACCTGGGCTCACTGGAGAGAGTCTGGCATTCCAATCCACTTTCTTAATCAAAACATAGTACTTCCGTTCAACTGCTTTAGTAAAACTATTTGGGGGTGTTACAGACAATTTTGGTGTCTTCCCAAAATTCATATGCCAAAACCAAAGTCCCCATAGGATGGCATGAGAACATGGGGCCCCTGGGACTGATTAGGTCATGAGGGTGGAGACTTCCTTGAAGGGGCTTAGAAGAAGAGGTTCTTGGGCGAGGCCAGAGAACTAGCTTCCTGACTGCCATGTGAGGACACAACAGGAAGGTGTTCTGGAGGAAGGTGTCACTAGAACCTGAACTTGGCACCCTGATCTTGATATCCAGTTTCCAGAACTGTGGGAAGTGAGTTTCTGTGGTCTATAAGCCCCCCTGATAAGATACTTTATTATACCAGCCCAAACTGACCAGCACAGGGGACTTTGAATTTGAGATACTTTGATACATTAGGTTCTTTTTATACATTTCTAGGGAGAAGGGATGATTCTCCATAAGGAGGAAAATTTATTTTCTAATAAGAGTCTAGTGGGTCTATAGACATAAGCAAATAATTACGCAAATGATCACTTAATTTCAACTGCCATAAGAGGGAAAATTATAGAAGCTATGAGGATATCATTAGAGCCTTGGCTCAGTATGGTGGGGAAGTTACACAGACCCTGACAGCCTTATGATCATTATCCAAAAAGTAGAGAAAGATGGCATGATAAGTGAGGAACTTCGTTTCTTATCTTTACAGAAATTACCGTATTCATATTGTGATGTAATACCTGTATCCATATAATGATATACTAATTAGGTAGGCTGCTAGGGTTGAAAAAGGCCAGTTAGGTCTTGCCTGTCTCAAATAATATTTGTTATGACAGGTATCAAAGGCATTTTGGGGTGTGCCCCCACTAACAGATACCCTGGATCAGCTACTGGTGTTGGGATCAAAGATAAAAATTGCAATCTGGAAAGAGATCATCTTAAAATCTCAAAGACAAAAGCAGAAAAAAGCAAGTCAGTGAAAAATTATTTGCAGCAGAATTGCTGGCATCGAGTTGTGAATAAGAACAGCATAGAGGACTAGGTGAGGATTATAGAGAATTCCTAGCTTAGATTACCTGAGTAGACAGAAAGGTGGATTTCATCAGAGAAGTCACAATGACTTATGATAAAAATGTTAAAATGATGACTAGAGGGGATGGTATGAAATCCTTTTGAAGAAGATATGAGGACTTGAGGATATCATGCTAGGACATTCAGAAGAAGATCAAAGAAGATAGGAATTCAGGCAGAAATCTTCTCAGGAGGTGGTAGAAGGGAAAGAGAGCTTGAGAGATGTAAGGCTTAATAACCAAAGGATCCCACTGGTATTGAATAGTAAAAACAGAAGGAAGAACAAATAGAAGACAGGTGAATGAACTCTGCAGAAATCCCACTGTCACCCAGACACTTCAAAAACAG